TATAATCAAACTTACAACTGAAACCGTATGCAAATGCAAACACGATGGTTCCATAAAGATAGACAGGTGAAATAATTAATATTAAAACAATTTCGCGACCGTGACACAGGAAATTACGAATATTTCGAATTTAAATGTTTAAAGGTAATAGTCAAATTTTCGAATGGCCACGGTAACCATTTCGAATTCTTCAATTGCGCAGTTTAATTCACTGTACATACTTCCCGGAAGAATTCTCGTTCGATCTTTGCACGATAAATAAAAAAATCGCGATCATGCTTACAGCGAGACATAATAGAAACACGATAAAATAAAAATATATAGTAGATGATCACCTATTTGTTACAACATATTACCGTGTTTCACCAATTTTCCAAAGTGTTGCTACTGCCATGGTGTCAGGGGGCACGTCCTTTCCAACCGGTGTTCTGAAACAGAAAATAAACGCGTTTAAACCAAGCAGTTACATTAAATTACCAATGGTTTCGTTACAAATAAATAACTATTGTACTCTAGGTGTGCCGTAAAAGATTGTAAATGGAATCAGAAACGCGTAAATACTACAGCGTAGACAAAGAAAGTCGTGAAAACCGATCACTTTGTCCCGTAATATCGAATTAATTTACGATAATTTACTCGAAATTGAATAAATATTAAACGAAAGTAACGATAAAGAACTAACGAAGGCACTAATAGTTTGTATAAATGATTAAATGTGAAAAGTAAAGATCACGTACACTTCGATGGGAGCGAATTCACTTCACGTCTTGTCACTTCGACTTGTGCAAGACGAATGACCCTTAGGCCGTCTTTGACTGCTCGCGGTGTGTTGATTCGGCTATCTTAGGGGCATTGTTATTGGAGGTTCAGTGGGTGCAGGTAACTGTCTTCCTCGCCCCACTTCAATTTCTAGTTTAACGAAATAGAATATTCAGTACTGTATTACACGCCGGTACGACCTTTTCTTTTTGCGTATACCTTCGGTTAGCTCAACGAACACTGACCCACCTCAAACGGAATAATAGACGCACAAGGACGATTTCTCAGAAATTTCATTTCGCAGCACTCTGATGGTTGTAAACAATGTCAGAGCCATATGTTTCGTGCCTTTCTTTGACCACTTTTCGAAAACTTACATTCCAATGTACCCTACGACTAATGAATGAATTGAACCGCGTACATATCCCAGGCTATCTTCGAAAATTTGTTATTTCAATTCGTTTTGGATGGAAAGCATTGATTTACAATGTCCAGTGGTATTTTAAGCTATATAAAGGCTTTCCTTTATGGGGAAAATGAAGAAAATGCAGACCTAGCAGTATTGTGGAAGTTTAGTTAACTGAGCTCTAGTTGGGTTGAAGTTCATTATATAATATCTCGCAACAAATAAAATTATTGTAAATAAATGATATTAAGATTTTAAGATAATAATGATGTAATATTTAAACATTTCAGCCAACTCAAACAAATGAAACTTAGAAAATTGTCAAAGTTCTATTTATACCAGTATATTGTCAAAATGTCAATTGTTCCAGCAACTATTGTATTCTAATCCGAAGATATACAGAATAAGGGAAGGGATCTAAAGTAATCTTCAACAGTTTCATGTATCTTTATCTCAAATACTTTATTAAAACATTCAAAATAGTAGACATTCTTACAAAACTTTCAATCTCATATCGTTTCTCAGAATAATCCAAATTCGATGTAACACTGACCGTGATTTTATGAGATAGATTCGAAGTTCGCAGCCATTAGCTCGATATTGTCTTCAGTTTACAGTATTTTACCGATGATAATATCGATTGCCCAGGCCTCACCACGAGGAGGTTGCTGCGAGTGGAGGCCCAAGGCAAGTAGATGGAATCACAAGTTCTACATCTACCCACCTTTCACAATAAACCTTATAAATTACTTAAATCTTAACTATATAATACTACCGATACTAAAATCCCTCGGCGGATGACTTCTTTCTTGAGCCTAAACCTATAAAAAACTAAGTTCCCTCGTCGGTTGTCTTCGTTCTTCAGCTTAGAACTAATATTATCTTAATATTCTAATTAATACGAATTAATGCTAGTAATACGAAATAACAAATTTAACGCAATGTAGTCGCTAATACTCAAACGAAAGAGATAGACGGAATGGAAAAAGTTCCATCGATCATTTCGTTTACGCACCTAATATACCAAGCCAAAAATTAATTCTACGATGAACCACGTTAAACTACAGTATGAACAAGTATCGCGATGAAAGTGTTGTCGCCAGAACCTGGTTTAAGAAAATAGGAAAGACGGGCGCAACCTCGCAAACCCGAATCCATCTCTCACTTTCCAGGCCCTTTGGGCTGGTCACCTACGTACCAGACCCGAGCACAGGTCATGACCAAGTATGGTAGTGCAAGCGAGATCCCCTGTAAAACAGAGTCCTTTTACGGAGCAGACTCCCGACTACTCCGTAGGCGGGTACGTTGTACCCAGGCGCGCACGAGCCTTTACTCCAAATCCTACTTACCAGGCAAAGACTAAACACGTCCGATATCTGGCTTCTCAATAGAAACCAGAGGGATCGGCAAACAGTCTTAGTGCACAGGCCCACTGCCCGTACCATAATAGGTACAGACCCACTGCCCATACCCCAAGTCTGTGTAGAGAAATCAACGAGCAAAATGAATTAATAATAACTTGGTATGCACAATGGCTGATCACAATTTAAGTCTATTAATAGATAGACTAAAATTAATAATAAACGATGTGATGATGAATATGAATATAACAATGAATATCGAATTATGATTTAAGTTTAACTTACAGTAACTTAACGCAGTGGTAGACGCACGCTTTGAAGATGTAGACGTTGATCGATGTCTTCTTTCGATGGAATAACTGTTTGGAAAAATATTTTTCATTATACAATACACATAGAATACATAATATGCACAGTAAATAAATCACAGTAAATAAGAAAATAAATATCGAAGCCAATGGTTCTCGAACATCTGTAACATACAAGGAATTAGTAACAAGAGAGGGGACACAACAATATGCACAGTATATAGATTAGTAACATGCACAGTAAATAAATAAATAATATGCACAGTAAATAAATCACATTAAATGAATCACAGTACATAAGAAGATAAATATCGAAGCCAATGGTTCTCGAACATCTGTAACATATAAGGGATTAGTAACAAGAGAGGGGACACAACAATATGCACAGTAAATAAATTGATGGTTGTCGAATGCCTGCAACAAACAATGGGTTAGTAACAAGAGAAAGGACGAGTATGAGACGCGCGACCACCCTCCGCGACGGTTCACGACAAAGTGAGGAAGCAAGCACAGACCTGCACGGGATGGTACGACCTTGGTACACGGCGTACACGGCTAAGTCAATAAACTGGGTGACGCAACTCACTAGCGCGTTGGATCGACGGAGAGCACCGATACTCGGCACGCTCTACCGTACTCTCTCGCTCGCACACCTTTCCCCATAGAATATTGAATAGACCACCGACATTCCTCGGCACGCGTCACACCGACGGAGAGCACCGATACCGCGGCTCGCTCTACCGTTCTCGCTCGCACGCCGTGACGTCACCCGATTCCCGGAATCCCGCAGCCACGAGATGGCTCACTACGGTAAGGCATTCCCGCAAGGGAAATTGTAAGCCGAAAAATACTACAATTTCGCAACTGTACGTAGGTATAATCATATTACATATACATATATGTATAGAGAGACTACTGGTTTTTCCATAAATAATTATGAAACGAAACAAACTGAACTACTGTATGTACCACTTTCAAAATTGGAATAACATTGAAATTAATGGGACTTTGAATATTTCAATATACTACAAAAATGAATGAGACTTAAAATGAATGTCAAAATTCCATGCGTACCACAACAGCTTGTCGGAATAATCCAAATGCTATTAATGCCGTCAATATTATTATCTTATACGATAATTTTAATTGTATGTCTCTTGGTGCTCTTATATCGTAAACTGTATATTTCCTTAGAATTGTTTACATAAAAGACAATAAAACGGTACATATGCGTTGTTCATTAATCCCATCAACACCTTCCGCCCAATTCCTATTACCTTATTTCTTCTTAAAGAAATCTGTATAAATAAGTACAATAATAAGCATGTAATTAATTTTCTTAATAAAAATGATATTTTCATTTATTCTGTATCAACAACCTCGAAACTTGTGAAACTATAGTCTCGGTTCATAAATTAATATCAATATTTTAAAAATTACATGAGTTGGTACCGATTTTCCCTAGCGGAAGCCGAGTTTGCTCGCGAGGATACGTATTTATTTATCAAGTATAACTTATATTACGTATATCGTATATAGTTTATACACACGTTTATGTTTATATGTTTTATATTTTATATTAAATATTTAAAGTCAATATATAAAGTATAGTATTGTATTTTTTTTTCTTTTAACGCAGAAACAACTTTTGTGTTGGATATCAAGGTTTGGAAAATATAATTCGATACAAGTCGGTATTGATACTTTTGTTTCGATACCTTCATACAAAAGCAGTTATGAGTGCATGAGTAAAAGTATCGATACCGTGGCGGTACCGATTCAACCCTCGCCCTTACGCATGTTCCGGGGGTTCTAGGGCCCCCTTAACAAGCTACATGATACATATATTTCGTCTGGCTAGTAGTTTAGGTCTTTTGCCGTAGATGACAGTGTTACTGTCCAGTCTGTACGGCGGTGGGGTTACCTAATCACAAATTTAATGTTGCTTAGGTTTGAATGTTAAACTCGGGGAAGAACCTACAATGAGTGCCGCATGCACGCCTGAAAATTGGAGAATTTCTCTAGGAATGCGTAATAACCTGGTATACAATGATATTCCTTATATTCCTATGAGGGTTGAAGCCATTTCCATATATCTCTCCTTCAAAGATTATCAAGAGAATGGTATTAAAAGAATACAAACTTTGGGTGAACTCGTTCCAAAGACTGAATCACGTGCCATGCTTTTATCTCTAACACCAGGAAATAGTTCTGAATTTCCTGTTTCTTTCGAGAACTTAAGTGTCAGGGATATATATATTAAGAATTCAGACAATACATATTGTGCACTTTGGGTGAGAATGGTCCTTAAAAATGATATATTTCATTCCTGTTGGGAACAAAGTAAAATTGCATTTGAACATTTCGTACAGTGTACACTGAAGTTGCTCTGTTTTCTCATTAGGAAAAATATACTGTCTTTAAAGTATATGGTACTTTGAAGTCCGAAGAATCAGGGCACGTGTTAGAAACTAGTCACCTGGTACCAGTACATGATATTGTGGGTACTTGGAATTTAATGACTATGTTAATTCCAATAGCCCGTTCTGAATATCGCCAGTGAGTAATAAACAATCCAATTGTTCAGTTACTTAAGTTATTCAATACATAGTTTATTGCACTTCAGGTATTACCGTACTCAAGGACAAAATAGTATGTTACAATCACAATGGGACCAAATGAAAGGAGGGAAAAAACGTTTAGTGAAAGAAACTACTAAATAAAATGTATAGCATGCTAAGTATAAAAGTATATTTTTATGTGTATACATAATTAATAAAAACGATTCTTTAATGATTATAACGTTATGATGTATATATGTATGTTATTTTATATTATGTATTATATTTAATGAATGAAAGATATTGCACTGTTTTAAAGTTTCTCTTAATTGTATGAGAATATTTTATATACTTTTTATGGCATTTTAATACCTTTGGTGATGTGGCTTTTTATAACATCGTGAACTGAAGTGACCCATTGTATTACAAAATAAACACATAGTATTATTAGCTGGACATACTGCTTTTGATGCAGTATGTGTCATACCACAAGAACGACAAAATTCTATTACAACAGATTGACATTTCCAAGAAAAATGGTTTTTTTTATTACATTTGGTACAAGTTTCATTGAAAGCAGGACACTTTCTTTTAAAATGAGCACCACCACAATAGTTACAATTTTCAACGAAAATCAATGGACATCTCCTACCAAAATGATTCCAGTTATTGCATTTTGAGCAATGTTTTCCTAATGCTGGACAGTTATTCTCAATATGTTCATACCCACATTTTGTGCAGTCTCTCAATAAATCATTGTCGTCATAACATTTCCAAATGAAAGCTATCTCCATTAATAGTAACCCATTATAATTAGATGAAAACACAAATGATGGTATCAGAGTTTTGGCAATATTGGTAAATTTAGTTTCATTAATTTCCACCAAAATTTTTTCTTTTATCACATTTTCTCCATCTGTAATGTTTTTTTCTTTGACAACAGACTACAAAATAAAATCATATAATTAAATTTTAGATCATACAATGATATTATTATGAGGACTTTAAGCTTATTAGAACTACCTTCAAATCATTTATATATTCATAAACATTTTCACGAGGTAACTTCTTCTTTCCAGCAAACATATAATATTCATCGAATTTTTTAAGTAACACATCTACATTTTCTCTGTCATTTACAGACTGAAATATGAATGTGTTATAAATCTCTTGCCCAATTGGGCCCATGAGATTCAACAACATATTTGCCCATCTGCTGTGATTAGTTTGCTTATCATTCGTTGATTGCTTAAAACGTAAAAAATTGACTTTCCACGATAACCAAATTTCACAAAATTCATTGTGTGTTAAAAATTGTCGCGGTGGAGTTGTTAGAGAAGTCTTTGCCTTTTGTCTAAATTTTCTATTGTTTTTTCTTGCATTTGTGCTTTCTGAATTTCCTAGAGGGGTAAAGAAATTTTTGTCTAATTGAATAAGTATCAAAAAGTATTTATTCGTAAATTAAAATACACACTTACCCATTTTTTCATTTGTTTATTGTACTATGCTCTGTATATGATTATGTAATTGAACCTCAATCTGCATAGCCAGGAGGACATATTTATAGTATCGCAGTCATGAGTCATGATTCCAGAGGTTTCAAGTCACACCACACCACAAAAGTTATAAACAGAGAATGAATTCTTTGCAAATGTATTAACACTTCATATTGGTAGTACTACATTTGCAATGTGATTCGTTATCGTTATATGCAAGAGATAACAAATTTCAATGATATGTACATATGAGAGACTTCATTTTCAGATGATATGAGGTCAATCACTTTCCTAAGCAGTCATTAATCATTTGCAAAGATAATTTCATTGACACTAGTTAACTTAAAGAATAATTCACTAAATTAGTCTGTTCTTGAAAGAATAAGGGGAATCCCTCGTTAGTCTTTACATCATATGTAGTGTCGGTAAAAAAGTCCAATATTTTTTTCTGAATATTATTTCGAATTGGAAAGACGTTAAAATAACTTATTAATTAATTTAATAATTAGACTGTGGATGTTATAAAAGTTCTTGTTTTCTTCAGTGGCATTAAAACGGACAAAATTTCTTCTCCTTACTGCAACTTCCATTATTTTAAAACTAGAATGAACGCTATCTTAAGACCCATTAAAGTTGACATTTCGAATATTACTTAGTATCGAAATATAATCCATCAAAAAACTTGTACGACCTGCATCATTTTTACAACGAGGATAATAAAATGTCTGACTAACGAGTTTACGTCGCAACACGAATGGTCGCTATGCGTCAGGCGTCTCCGTGGTAACACCGTGGCGATTTACACCCCGAGTACATGGCCACAGAATGGAGCAGTTTCATTCAAGTTTCATAGCTCGAAGTCTCCCTAAAATTCATCGACAAACATTTCATAATTACGCGTAGTGTCAGATAAACCCTGTGATACAATTAGAAATCGTTAAACAAATCTTCGCGAAACGGAATGTTATTAGGTCCACCGGAAGTTGATCCAGTCTCTCAGGATCTCGTTGAACAAATGCGTACGACGCAGGGTATCGTGGCACAACGATAAATATTATCAAGGTAACACAGATTCAGAATTTCGTTCCATGGTATTCGTAACAATGGGCAATGAAGACTTATGCATAAAATTTTGTAGCACCAGTCAATTGGGACCAATGGAAAAAAGAATGTTCCAGTGAACTCGATCGGGACCGGAAGCTGGAAGTGCTCCCTTGGCCCACGCATGGATTCTAATTACAGAGCAAACATCAGCAAGTGGCTGCCAGTTGCTGGCAGTGTCCTGGAGAAATGGTTCGCCGAATCCTCGTCGCTCGACGCCAGAATGGGCAACCTCGTGGAATGCATAGCCTTAATCATCCAGGACATTACAGACGTGCAGGCTTGTGATCTGGAGGTGCGAAACTAACTTCCCTCCCGCGGACCAAGTTCCCCGGGCGGCAGTTTAGTTTCTCATTATCAAACGGGATCTGGGAACCGGTCGATTGTTAAAATTATCCCCGTCTCGCACGCTGGCTTTCCCCCTTTGCTCACGTTCATTACCACGGATTATGGCCCTTTCGTGCCTTATTGGAGCTAAGCTTCGTTTCTTTATCTACGTCTCGATCGAACCGTTGCAATCTCAAAATGCTGCAGCCCACTTTCTTGAAATTTGTAACCCCCTGGGAAATATGCTTGTTGATTTCTTTCGTAGACTCTCGGGTTTTCGTTACCTCTAACGTGGAAAATTATTTCGATACTTAATAGGAATGGAGTTCTCAGAATTGTTGATACCTCGAAACCTAAGAATGTTTTGAGTTTCGAGACCTCGAAATTTTGCACTGATTTCGTGATTTGAAAAACTGTCGAGACTAGTTCTTAGAAGAAAATATTCTTCTCGCGAAACAAAATCAGCGCTTCAAGTTTTGAGAGTCTCGAAATCTTATAGAGTTTTAGCTTCGAGTTTCGACAATTTAAAAATTCGGTTCAAACCCACCCCTAATTAATAGTATCGTTTGCCAGGCTTGTGGCAATATCGCGAGCGATCTAGGGGAAGTTACGAAACGTTACAAACCGATTTCCACGATGACGTTAAGCTCCCATCCGATATACAAATACAAAATGCGTCATTATCTGGTGTCGATGAAACGGAAGCTGAACGTGCTCGCCAGATCCACTCGGAACTTGATCAACGAAATCGTCGACTGCAAGAGCGAGGAGCTGCTCAGAGTCGTCTTCAAGTAAGAACTTCCGTTTCGATGTTTCGTCGAGCTATTCTATCTAGCTTTAATTACCGAACACGAGCATTACTTCCCTGACAGAACTGTATTGATCGTAGACTGGTGAACGTTTACAACGACATTCTGAGCATGGATATCGACGTTTCGGATCCGTCGACGAACGTCTTCCACAACGATAGCCCGCAAATGTTGGAGCCCTTGAAAAAGATGTCCGTCACACGGATACTGCAGGTGGACTTATAGACTTTAATGGAATACGATTTAATTAACAAAAAAAATTGACCTTCATATGACCTCTACGCGTCCAAATAGAAAAATGTTGCATCAGAAAGTGTGTCCCTTGATTCCATTTCACTTTTGTGAACAAAAATGTTAAAATGTTCTTGTGAATCATTTGTATGTCATCTAATATACACAAAAACACAAGAATATAATTATTTGGTAGTTTTTAAACGATTTGGAAATGAAAGGGTTAATCTATAACTCAGATCGGTATACATGTATAATATTCGCGAGAAAATAAATTCTCTGACCAGTTTGCTCCGAGTGGTTCAATGGAAAACGTTACGGTTCCAGATGCTGGCCAAGAACAGGGCAGAGGAGACCTGCCACGAGCTCATCGACTGTCTTCTGACGAATTACGAGCCTCGGGAGAGAACCGATCCGGCGTCGACGACGGAGGCCGGCGACGTCTCGGAGAATTCGAGTATCGAGATCTACCGGTTAGTCGATTCGCCCATCAACTCTGCCCAAGCAATCGTGACTTTATTGTCCCCCCACCGTACCGCGTCGTTGTCGTTCACGAAGAATTGATTTACAGGGCCCTCACGAGACACTTGACGCCGCCGATCGAGAGCGCTTCATCGAAAGCCGAGATGGAGATGTCGAACGTCGAGAGCATTCAGACGCTGGTCAATACGCAGAACGAACAGGTCCTCAAACTGTTGAACGTCGTGCAAGATGTCTCGCCGCAGTTGTTGGGCAACGAAGCATTGAAGACCGTCAAAGGTGTTCCACGATTTATTTCTCGTCGAGGCTAATACGTTTTCGGGAGTACCGACTCGATCTTTAACCCTGGAATGCCACCCTGATGTTACCGGCGACCTCACAAAATTTGAATCTTTTCTAGAGACGTGGAAATCAACATTAGAACTTTTCTTTAAAATTTCTTTTATGCTTTTTTTAAATAGAAATCACTGTAATATGCAGTTATTATTTCCTAGGGTGTTTAAAGAATAGTTTGAAAATATTAAATAGTATTTTAAATATTAAGATTTTATTAACAACGGTGTTACTTACGCGACAAAATGGAAGGGTGTCGTTCTGGGGTTAACGGAATTGGAACAGTTCCATTCACGATTCACATTTTCGTTCTTTATCTATAAATTCGTTTGCCACGTACTAGTTCCAGAAAGAGTGGTTCTAGAAAATCATCTAAATATGGGAATCCAAAAAAGGTTTAATGATTTAAAAAAAAAACATTGCACAGGCGAGACAAGACTGAGGAGCAGTGCCACAAAGAAGGTGAAGAACTACTATCAGGAGGTCGCCTGGGGCGCGTTGTCGGGTATCCTGGACCACGTGATCCTCTGGTGGTCCCCGGAACCGCTCGCCACTCATCACAGTCACGGAGCACAGCACCTCAAGGACTGGCTCAGTCAGTTCGTCCAGAGGAATCCTGGTAAGTGTGTGTGTGCGTACGAATACCATGGGAGAAGTTTCTCACAGGAGAAACGGCCGTGATTTCGGTGGGATGTTCGTTAAAATTTCAGTGTCTCCGACGGCGAGGCCGGCTCTGCAGAATCTCTGCGACGCTCTCGGGTACCATGCAACCCTCACCGTCTGGGACCAGCTGTTTCGAATCGCTTACACGTCCGCGTTCCAGTGTCAATCGAGACCCTCGTCCACGGAGGTCAGAATGTCGAGATTACAAGGTTGACTCGTAAATAACGTTCGATCCTACTTTCCTAATCTTTCCATTCACTCGAGAGATTATTCCTAGGGCTATGGGATAATCCAAATTGGGGTGTAATACTACAACTACGTGATTTAAAAGGGAACTTTTGTAAATTTTGATTCTATTGAAATTTTGCAGGTTTGTAGAGGAATTTCGTAGAAGTATCGGGCAATTTTTTGTTTTGGCTGATATTCGGTTCATCGGGGTGAAACCACCCCATTAATGGTAATGTGTCTTCTCCTACTTTCCCATATATCTTGAAAACTATTGGAAATATAAACAAAATTTCAGAAGGAACATTTCAACCGCCGCTTATTTCCTATAAATGGAATTCTTAAAAATTTGTTTTTTTATTATTTATTTATTTAAGCGATAAATGTTTAACAGTCTCACTGCTCAAATTTATAGAGCATAAGAAGCTGTTAAATTTTCCTTGTAACATTTTATTGATATTTACCACAGTTTTCAAGATATATAGGTAAACAGGAGAAGACACGTTAGCATTTAGGGGGTGGTTTCACCCCGAAGAACTGAATATCAGAAAAGAGAAAATATTGCTCGATGCTTCCATCAAAATCCCCTATAAATCTGTCGAGTTAAAAAAAATCAGGTATTTCGAAGTATCAAAGTTCCCTTTGTTAGCTACCCCTATTATCGAGTTCTTAATCAATATACACAAGGTTTTCGCCATGAAGCTGTAAATAGAGGAGAATTTAAAGAATAAAACCGAGAGGAGTTCGTTTCAGGGGACTGACACGGGCCAGAAGTTCGCAGAGGTATTTCAGCTGCTGGTTAGACTGAGCAACGAGTGCGAGGCTGGTGGCGAATGGGTGATCGGTGCACCGGTGATCGAGCTACCACTTACAGAGCAGATCGTCATTCTCCATCGATTGGATCACTCCGTGCACACCGTGAGACTGTGGATCGTGCAGGAGGCGAAGACCATAGCCCACACGTGGGAGCTGGAAGTGTTCTTCCTGTTGGTCAAGGGCGACATACTGAACTGCTTCGAGGAGCTATCTTATCGAAAGGTCTTCCACTCACGTAAACAGATCCCCCCCGTCTTTCGACTACCTTACTGTTCGTTCAATTTCAGCTTGCCGATCATACGAACGAACTGTCCATGGACTCTGTCAACGTTCAGGTGTACGTCTGCGGGAAGATGAGGGCGAAGATCGCCTCTGAAGTGAACGTTAACGTGGATTTACTTCAGGTATAGAATGTCTGATCGTGTCCTGTCTAATCGTCTTTTTAAATTTTTCGGAATATTTGGAGCTTCATATGTTTGTAATTAAAGCTAGAATGCCCTGCGTGCTTCTTGGAGACACTCTAATTTGTTTGTCCTTAGTGCTTATCAGATGATTTCACTAGTTTACGTTGTCTTACATTTGCTAAGTTAGATGGTCTTAACGTATCACTAGAAATTGAAAATTGAACAGAAAATATAATTCACGAAATTGAAACTAATATTTCCAGGAAATCGCCTTGGTTTTTGGGAATCATTAGCAGTTTCTAACAATAATAGTGATAATCACGAGTTTATGTTTAACTAGTTTATGTCTCCGTTATTTATATTTTAGTTATGTGTGATATAAAATATAATACATATGATTTAAACTATTTCCTATATTAAGTACTTTCTATATTAGTGTTTAAAAATTCTAGTGAGGACAATTGAATTAAAGAGGGCAGTCTAATACACGATCGTATTGGGGGACTTAAATTTGTGAAATAACTTGATAGATTTTAGATTCAACGGATGCACCCTGAAGAATATTTTCAAAGAATAATCTACAGACACACGTTCTACCTGGTTTCCTTTTTTAACATCCACAGAAGTGTGCCACCGAGTGTACAGCAATTCTCGCGAAGATCTGTCGCGTGGTCAGTCTCGCCAATCTCCACATGTGCTTTCCACGATCGAGTTACTGGCGTCGTGGAGGAAACATCGCCCCAACGAACCCTAGCCTCTACGTGGAGGAGTATTTCGGTACTGAGAATTTCCCTTACGAACACCCTCGAAATCGTGTCCACCCCCGCTAAAAAGGTGCGTCCTATAGAAAAGGTGCTGCTCCCGGTACTAGAGGTTATCGAGGATCACGAGACGTCGAATATGATCCTGAGAATTATGTGCGAGGCGTGGCTCGACTACATATACCTGCATCGAATTAAATTCAGGTAAATCCTCGGGGGACTTGGAGCCTTTTGGAAGATATAGTCGCCATGAAAACTATGTCAATGTTCCCCTCTATAATTCTTTTAACCCTACATCACTAAACTATCGTAAAAGATTCTTAGAAAGTGTTTTCATGTTGCCAACATATAATTATTGTCATAATTTCTTACTACTTTTAAATCTGATTAACATAAATGTTTAATACGTAATATTTTCTTAAAATATTTCTTAAATATTTATTTTTTAATGTTTTTCTTCAGTCGTAAATTCTACGAATATTTAGTCGTAATGTAAGTCACAGGATTGTTTAGTAATCTAGGGTTAATTCAAGAATTCTTCGAGTTTTGTTTTAACATCTACTCGAAACTAACTCGTGTGTTCAGGATTCATTTTAACGGAACTTTCTCGAGATATCCTATTAGATATGGTTAATGCCTTAACTTACTTTCCGAGGCGACTGTATAAGGGTGCTACCGGGTCGCCATTCGAACGTCCACGAGTGATCGTAAGACTGAAATATATTTTCCAGCGAGCACGGGGCGCTGCAGTTGCTCACGGACTTCGCGTACGTGTCGAAATGGGTCTCTGGGTGCACGATAATTTCGCAGGAAGTGAGGGACCGTCTTTTGAAGAACGAGGTACTGAGACGTTGCGAGGGTGTGGGCAGACTACTCTTGCGGCATCCTGGCGAGGCTATCTCTATGCGCAAAAAAATGGGTATAAAGCGATATATCGTAGCTGTGATTCATCCACAGATTTCTATATACTACAGTTAACTACAATACACCGCAAACAGCCGAGAGAAAAGTGGTGCAAGTGGTGGGGGAGTGTCTTATACATTGGGTTCTTATATTCTTGTATTCTAGTGTAGTATACAGGGTGTAACAAAAATGTCCTCCGACCCGGAAATGGGGCACTCGAGGGGTGAATTGGAACAACTTTCTCCTTAGCAACAATGTAATCTGAGGCTTCGTTACCGAGATATTAACGAAATACCCCGACCGTATAGAAGTCTGTGGGTTCATCTAACGAGACGAGCCAGGAAAAATAACCAAAACACACACGTGCCTAGCCCAGTTATTGGCTGGAAACTGTCTCTGTCCTTGTCTAAGCTAAACGGACACTACCTTCCTTTGTTTATACAGTAAATGATCGATGAGTGTTAGAAGACTCCTTGATACTGAATGTTCAGACGTCATCCCCACCACTGGTGGGGTCCCCCGTGGACCCAGTCAAGCAGTCAGTGGTGGGGATGACGTCTGAACACTCAGTGCCGAGGGCTTTCGAACACTCATCGATCATTTACTGTAGTTATTGACTCGTCTCGTTGAATGAAGTGTAGAGAAAATGTGTAAGGTCCTACAGATTGATTCGTCTTCGTTTAATCGAATCCTTTCAGTCACAAGGACGAACGAGCAAGGCTCGCCTGAGTCACCTGGATTGGAACGAATGCCTGCGGAGATGTACGTGCCGAATCAAGAACAATGGCTAGAACTACGGGCCCCTAAAAGATTAACGTTCTGGTGCACGGATTGAGAAAATGTTTCGATTTGACAATAAATATATTTATTACTCGAAGGAATCGAATATTAATTTCCTTGAACCTTTAAGTGTATGTCTGCGGGACGTACAGGTGGGGTTGTGGCTTAAGGTAACCCTAAACTGAACGCATTACCATAGGATGACACACTTTAGACCCCTCTAGCTTAAGCCTCTCTCTAACCTGTCACGAGATTTTCCCCTGAAGATAATTCTGTGTCACGTGACAAGTTGAATAAGGTAAGTATTTCAACCCTCAGGCATCGCACCCACACCTCAGTATAACACCACACTAGTGCGAATTGGGATATTGAATTTTCGATGATTAACAACTTGAAGAGAATAAAAGCAAATTGAAATCACAATATATTCTTTCGAGTAAAATTCCCGCTCAGATCTTCAAGGGTAATAATTAGTGTATTCAATGGTAGTAATATTAGGTGTAGAAATTAATTCGGAACTCCCACAATTAATTATTAACTCCCGACCACCATTATTTTTATCAACTGTCATATAATTGGCGTAAAGCGTAGAAAATGATATTTCCAGGACTTTCGGTCTATTTTTGAAAATAAATAAAAATATTTGAAAGCCACAACGTAATTTGTACACCTAATAACAAAATGGATGAAGTATAATTTTTTAATAATATCGAAGCTTGTGTAGCAATTCTGACCACTGGTGATATCACAATCGCGTTTTCTATTTAAGTATCGGTCCAACCGCAACGACAGAATCTCGTCTGTCAGCTAGTTACATAATTAATGCAGTCCAATTTGGTGTGCACGCGTATTTTTTGCGCGACAGAGTCGAACGATCTTCGCGGCGAATTCACGTGATTTATGCGCCTGCGAAGCCCGGCAACGGGAGGAAGCCCCGTCCCGATCTTACGCCAGGTATTACGTTACACACCCACATTACAAGATAAAAATGTAGGATGTAAGAACTGAACTGACGTCGATCCATGGTGCACAGGTGCAGTGAGGTTTTAGCAGCGGGACTGGTCGTTTCTCCATGGATCATCCATGAGAACGATCACGATCATCTCGTGATAACTAATCGTCCATTAATAACTATCGAAGATGAACTGTGTTTCTATTTCTATTACGTTGGTGGAAGGAACGGCAAATCGATAAATTAACGAACTATTTCACAAAATTAGTATATATCAGAAAATATACTACAAATGTAATTTTAATTAATTTTCTAAAAGTTTATGAATACCAATCATTTTTACCGTTTTGGTAGTTCCAGTGTTATAGTCACGGTCCTGTGATTACGCGTGTGTGCAACAAGTGCAATTCATTTTCGTAATTACCATCTAGTAGACCAGTGGACGATTGATAGTGAATCGTTTCATTCTCATGTGACCACTGCGTAAGCTACGAGGCGATTCATCAAGATTTTTGGTCTCGTGTTGAACCATTGTTGATGTAGTGAACTTTCCGTTTGGATCGTTTTTAATGCGTTGATTGTTCGAACGTGAGTATCAAATACATTCTTTTAAAAAAACTTTCGATCGACTGTCTTCATCAGTTCGAACATTTCTTGTTTCAAAAGTATTCAGGATGTTTTAGGTTGGTAGTATAATAGGAGGTTATTCTACAGGCCAAAACAAATCGAAAATGTAGAATAAAATTGTTTCCTATGACGCTTTGTTTCAAAGATAATCGAATCCGAAAATCTGCTGGATGCACGTGCGATTGAATAGGCCAACGCGTCTGTTCGTTACATTCTGTTTCTACTTATTGTCGCTACGAATACCTACATGCACACTCGATGAAACTTCCCAGCGGTTTATCTCGAGAACGAAGCCTCGTATGATATTTCATAAATATTATTTAATATATCTTATATATTTAAGTATATAAGAACTATAAATTAATATTTATGACTTATTTTTTCGTACAGTCATCTTCTTTTTGGTTGTACTACACGTCCTGACAGTCCCTGTTTAGATATTTTGCTCCGATAGCGATTAGTTGACTGCGGATCTTTATGCAAATACCAATTCATAAAGATTTCTTTACAGAAATTTCTTTACTTCGTCGAAGATTCTCTCAACTCCCACGTAAAACGAAAACTGTTCTAAAATTTATTAGACTTCTTGCTATACTGAATTTCAGACAATTGGATACGCTATAAATGCACAAAATCCACAGTCTAGTATAACAATTACGCTACAAATACATATGATCTACCATCTAAAAGTTATTGATAAACAAAATACCCTTACACGTTATTTTTTATTCCCCGTCTATCCATCGAGAAAAAAAATAGAACTGTTCCAATCTGTTCGTAGAATTCCTCTTCAAGTTCCCTCCCCACGTATCTTTTGCCACCTTATCGAGCTCACTGGAAGGTGTCGATGATCTTCTGTAATAGCCCAAAGCTTCTCATCGTCGCTCCGCACCGCAGGATAAAAACGCGAGTCGGCCGGCTCGTGTTTCATTCCCGGCCGTCGATCCTCTCGATCTCTTCTTATATAACGCGAGCCAGTCGACGCCTTTCGTGTCCGTGTGTGTGTATTGGTTTGCAACAGCGAGCAGCCGTTCGAACCGAGTACAACCGTTCCTCGCGTTCCGCGATGGAATGGCTGATTTAAGGAGTAATCTTGTCTTAATTGCCTCCAACCTTCGTCCGTTCTCCCATTAATGGCCCATTCGGGAACTTCCGTTTCTTAGCCAACTATCACGAACCATCCCGCGAACAGTCGATATCATTTTCCACTCGCTATTTATCGCGAAAAGTTCCTGTCCCATCGAAGCTCCCAAGGCTTAGGTCGAACCGTGTAAACATTTGATTTCAGACAGTTAGAAAAATTAGATTTTAGACAGTTAGAAATGTTAGATATTGGATATTGGCACTCACAATTCGAAAAGTTCTGATTTTTCTTTTTGAACTCCGTAGGTATATAGGGAAAACCTCGATAAAAGCATTTGGACAGTTTTTCCATCGTAACAGTTATTTCATATTTACTATACTTTCCCAGATACCTATATGAGAAATTAGAAAACCACACATCAACCTTTATGGGATGGTTTCTTTGAGCGTTAAAGGGTTAACCACAATATAAAAGGATTGAAAATTTTAGGACGGTTTAATGCCACTGTATACGTGGCATTAGATTAGACAAGGCATTAGATTAGGCAGATTAGACCACATTCAGTGAGTCTTCAGCATGCAAGTTGTACGTCGCAGACGGCATTTAAGTAACGTCTACGTATAAACTTCCCTGTAACCACCTAGACACAAAGGGTCGACACACTAGTGGTCGCGCCTGGGACCGGAAGTTTCCGCCGATTCCAGCTCGGTTTCCGTCAGGGTAAACCGAGCCTGTACTCGTGAAACTCGGCCAGACCGGGGGACTGGCTGTGGTGGTCGACTGACAGCGTCTTCGTCGACACAGTTCACGTTCGACGATCGTCGATACCACGGCTCGACGATCATTTCCACTACAGTTCGTACCATAAGTCCAGTGAGGAGGTCTCGTTCGTTGGAAACGGCGGCAGCATGCACGGTGGCAGGCACGTCAACGAGAGAACCTCGCTCACGAGGCCCTTAGACTCGCCCGATTACGTGGAGTTCGCGAGCCTCTTGAGGACCCGGAAGACTCGGATCAGACAGTTCCAATGCTGTATCTGCGCCACTTTGATGTAAGTCCGGGCGTTTTTATATACATACAGGGTGGCCTAGAAGTCATTAGACCATTTAAAAATAGAATAACTATTTATGCTTTTATAAATAATAAATATACTTGTTGGAAATCAGTTTTAATTAGTTTGGTATGTCTTGGTATGGATCTTCCTAAAAAATTATTATATTTTAAAATAGTCTAGTGGCTTTTGAGTCACCCTGTTTAATCTGCAAACTTCATTTGTTTGTGTTTTTGCATTCATAGCCATTTCATGACCATCGGCAATACCAAATATTTTTAAATGGCATCCAAACATTAGAAAAAAGAATTTTTTCGAACGTTTGAAATATTTTTAAAACGACTATTGGTTCTCAGATATACGAACAAAAATTCATCAATGATTCCTCGCAAAATGTTATAAAGAATATTAAATAGAACAATGCTGTAAAGAAAAAAGTACACTTTAAGAGAAGAATTTCGGGCATATCATAATTAATTGTAAATGTAACCTAAAGTATTTGTTCATCTAGTTGTTAGAGGGTATCGTTGTGACGGCAAGTAGACAATACCAGTGCATTAAAATCGGCGATTAAGAAACATTCGACGCGAAGGAATTACTTTTTCCTAATCCGATTTGCGTCGGAGCGTTAACAGCCGCGTGTTCGACCGTTGCGTGGAGGATGGGCGTCTATAGAGAAGCGTGTTTATATAATTATAGACGAGCTGTGTTGCACGCGTGATGGAACCGAGACAGACTTTTAAGAAACGTAGGTGCATAAGAGGATGCATTTAATCGAGTCATCAATCGAAGTGTGCAAACACCATCTGTTCGCGTTTGTGTCCTGACAACTTTCCTCGAGCCAAACACATTACTCATTTTGAGTATCACCACAAGAAAGGGGGTTGGCATTCTTCACGAGAAAATACATTTCTAAAAAAAGCTTATTAACCAACTGATGATCTCGTGTTTTAAGCTTCTCATTTAGATTATCCCAGTGTTTCAATAAAACAGTTATAAGTCCTTAATAAGACACTTCTTGCACTTTGTGACGACTATTACTCCTTTCATCTTTGACATTATCAAATAATATTTCGCCCCTGTATTCTACACGCAGAATCTATTAGTAAGCTAACCCCTTTTAAAAATAATTAACCCCTTAATTTCTCACTGGAAACTATGCAATTTTCCCTTCGATCTGTGTAACAATTGTTGGTAAAATATTTCGTTAATATTAACACTAGAACTACCGATGATAAACGGAAATTTGCTTCGATCACTAGATAAACGTGGAAAACTTTGAAAAATTTAGTAATTTAGAAATTGACTAATTTCTTCACTCTCGTATCGTAATAAAAGCTGCAAAAGATCTGAGAAAATGTATTGTAATAACATTTTAATCGTCGTTGTAAGAGTGTATTGACCAGTAATTTTGACTAGTTTGGTAGTTCTAGTGTTAAAATTAATAATACTCGAAACGAAACAGTAAATAACTTCACCTCAGAACTGTCCGATCTCTATTTGCGAGACAATGAAGCCGTCCATAAAATGATGCAGTTCCATCTTGTCAAAATTCGAACGATTTCGCGAATCGCAGCAAGATCCTCAGACAAAGGGAAAAACGATCCGGTCGTGTAAGCACAGTAGAGTCGGGACACTTCGATCGAGCATACGATATATCTATAAAAATCGTTGTTGTTGATCCTTTCCCCACCGTAAGCGGATACTTACGTAAATTCATCGCTCACCTCGAGAACCGAGTGACTCGGACCGTCGTCGTGAGTTTTCAGTCGCGGCTCGAACGCGGGACAGTAAGAGAATGCCGTCGACGGAGACGACCTCGTTGACCGACGAGAAAACGGCCAGGGTGTACTACGCCCGTGACTCGTATCCGTTTCATTCCCATCGGAGGAGACAGAGATTACAGCTAAGATGCTTCACGTACACCGTCGCGACGTGAGTTTTCCTCAACGCTGTTAGAACTACCTCGGTGATCATTAACCCCTTGTCCTATGATTTTCTTGATGTCTGCAATCTCCAGAATTACTTTATCATCAATAATTCCCCAGAAAAAAAAAGGAATTCGTGTATTTATCGCAATTGTATATTTACTCTAAAAGTTAAATATTAATATCTGTTTACTTTTAGTTAAATTTTAATTCTGTTTGTTAAATCCATTTTGGTATCGTCAGCACGAGTCTGACTCGATGTTATAAGGCGAGGGGTTAACGATGACCGCAATCGTTCCGAAAGAATTATCGGATAATTAACCCTTTCGTTCCGATTGTTTTCATACAAATGCAATAGAAATTTGCAGAGCTCTAATTTTCTCTTCTCAAGTATTTTAAGAGGGTTTTACAATTTTATCGAACAGTGTAATTAAAGAATGGTAATAATTGAACTGGGCTATGTTCGCACAACTTCGTTAATTAGGGACTGATTTAAAACGTGTGGTGATACTTCTGTCTTTGTTCTTCGAACCAAAATGTGATACGTGAGTGTAAAGTTTGCAGTGCAGTAATAATAAATTGATTATAAGGCAGAGAATACTACCTCGTTATTATAGAATATTACCCCAATTTCAATTCGATCGACGTTATTTCCTCCGAATCCAAGGAAATTTTATTCTCATCGAGTTTCTCGATTTCGATTGCGGTTTTTAATTAGATTAATGACACTCGTGTGATTCTTTTAAGACCGAAGAAACTGTGCTCCGGGCGAGAACGAAGTCGCGGAGGGGAATAACGAGATCCGTTGCGGTTTCTGCGGTTTTCGCTCGGGCGTTGTTCCGAACAAGAACAAGTAACGTACGATGAGATTCGAACAAATGTGTGTGTACACTGTTTTTCTGTGATCTAGAGGTCGTTGACAGAACCTTGCGTTTAGAAGGAATTCTGCCGGTAATTACGAAAATAGTGTAAATCACATGGTTTTTGTTTCAAAAAATTTTTCGTAATATATTCAAATAAATATCGATGTAACAAAGAATAGAAGAAAAACTCTGTTTTTTTTTTGGTGGGTTTTCGATTTACACCACTTTCATAATAAGGATATTAGGAGAGGGGGTGGTGAGGGGGTTGTTTTAACATTCCCGTCGTTCGAGGGCTTCTCCTGACACCGAATGACATGTATTAAGAACAATACTTAGTTCTTATTGTATTTGCACGTCCAGTACTTCGCGTAATTCGTTTACAAGGCGCAAACGGTCGCCCAGAACGCGGTGGTTCTTTGCGCGTAGGCTGATTACGTGACGCCGCCGGCCTTGATTACACGCGTAATTGTACGGTGACAGTAAGGTTGCCCAACATGACGGATAGCAACGAAGACACATCGTTATTCACGTAAACACAGAATCCATCTGCTAAACGATTGCTTGCTTGAATAACAACGAAGAAGAAATTCTAGAATTCTAACACATAGTTTGCTTCTCACTTTTCTTCACAAAGAAACACTGATGCTACGTACACACGATACGTTCGCGACTTGCCACTGCTCGTTGGTAAATTAACCTTTTCAGGGATACTGGGACATAGAGCGATTCGTAAGTTTGTTCGGGGAAGGCTGTCACCCCTGTTTGATCAAATTATTTACCGAAATGTGAATTTTGTTGACCGTTCTGACCGAAAATGGTCCTAATGTGCGAACCTCATCTGTATTCTCACGAAAAAACCCTTGTATATTTACAATAATTTTCTAGATATGACGTATGTGTCACACTTAGGGCTGCCATAACAACGGACATTTCCACTTGAAACCGAGATATTTTCAACTATTTATTAGTTACGATATCCCAAGACAAAAAGATATAATATAGTTGTACAAAGTAGGAATTTATTTATAATTTAAAATATCTTATAAAATACGCAAACTTAACGCATCGAAAAATCTGGATCACTACAGAAAATCCCCCCGAACGCCCTAAAAAAAAGTGGATAAATTCGGAGAAACCCGGAGGGATGGCAGCCCTAGTCACACTGGGTGTTAAAGGGTTAATACCCCAAGAATATCAAAAGTATACAGTTTCTCGTATACAAATCCTAAAACACCACAATTATACTATCCTCATGATAGCATTGTCATCCAAAACAACCCCAGCGCAAAGGAATCATAAGACAGAATTCAAGAATGTCCACAAGCGATCTAATATTCCAAAATTCTATTTCGTTTCAGAGCGGTCTTCACGATGGCCCTCATAGTAGCAGTCAGCTACTCCGTCAGTCAAGACATCATAGACGCCTCCCCGAACAACACATTGTCCTCCATGCAGTCCGTCCTTAACCTAACCGGCCCTTTGAGATTAGGTATCGCCCCTGGCTCGGGCTCGTACACACTATTCAGCAATCCAGCATTCGTGCCCAGCTCGAACTCGATCCTGGTCGACGAGAAGAACGTCGTTACGCCGACCTTGAGCGAGGAGGAGTACCGTGAGGGATTGGAAGCGGGTCGACAGGCGATAAACCAGCGTTTGTTCGCGGACGCGACAGCTCTTGCGTCCCCATTACCGTCCCCGTCACCGGAATCCAGGCATCGTTACGCAGTGAGCACGTGCGTCAGCGTTGGAACGCTTGCTCTGGCGGCCATTGGTGAACTGGCTGCCACCAAGAGGATCGAAAGCTCCAGGTCCATTCTGGCTGGACCATCGGCCGTTGGAAGCTTTTTCGATAGTGGATGGGTACCTCGAGATGTCTGTAAACATCTGATAACACCAAATTGCGTGGAGAGCAAGTACAGAACTATCGATGGTAGCTGCAATCGGCAGATGCAACAGGGTGCCACCATGACACCTTTCAGAAGAGTTTTACCGCCGAGTTACGCGGATGGCATCGAGGCGCCTAGAAGGGCACTTTCAGGTGCTGAGCTACCATCGGCTAGGGAAGTCAGTCTGAAGGTCCACAAACCATCGCCGAGCAGTAATCCTCGTTTTTCGGTGATGCTGGCCGTTTATGGACAGTTCTTGGATCACGACATCACCGCTACTGCGATCAGTCAGGGTGTTAATGGCACCTCTATCTCGTGCTGTCCACCGTCTGTGGGACATCCAGAATGCTATCCTGTACCAGTCGCTTCGGGAGATCCTGTTTTTGACGTGGCTGGAAGGACTTGTATGGAGTTCGTCAGGTCTGCGCCCGCGCCACAGTGCAAGCTTGGACCTAGACAGCAACTAAATCAGGTACAATAAATCTTTGTAGGTTGATAGAATACATATTTCTAATGATATGTGCGAAATATTAGCCGTAGTTACTTGATAGTTCTGAAGGTATATTTAATTAAAGTTACATACCTAGTTATATATGTACTATGAATATAGGTGTCTTCATATTCAGTGAAGAGGAGCCTTCGAACACTTATTCACTGTATTTCTTGTAATTTCACTCTAGGAAGTGTTAAACGTTTACAATCACTGTCAAATATCACATTACGGTTTTCCATAATAGTATTACCATCGGTCCATCGCTTGTGTTAAATGGACCCATTGAAATGGCAATTATTACGATTGAAAAAATTCCGGCGACACGCGATCCATTCAACTCGCAGTCGATTAATTAAGCTCATTACCGTTGGACGGCTCGCCGATAATAATGACGCATTCGTTATCTCGTTAATAGAGATTACACAACCGGAATCGAATGAGCACGCGATAACCAACCTCTCCCCCGGAGCCATTCTTCATTCGCGAAATGATTATTTATAGGTTACCGCGTTCATCGACGGTTCGGCGATTTATGGATCTGACATTACCACGGCTAGCGATCTGCGAGAATTTTCTGGCGGTCGTCTGAGGATGCAGATCACGCCTGACAATCGAACTTTGCTGCCTGCCAGTACCAATCCAAATGACGGCTGCAACAGGGAAACTGAACGTCTTAGAGGTCGCTATTGCTTCGCAGCTGGGGACGCCAGGGCGAACGAAAATCTGCACTTGACGACGATGCATCTGATCTGGGCGCGACAGCACAACAGGATCGCCGATCAATTGGCAAAGATCAATCCCACCTGGAACGACGAGACGTTATACGAAGAGGCTCGACGAATAGTAGGTGCGCAGATGCAGCACATCACCTATCAGGAGTTCGTTCCCATCGTGCTGGGCGAAGCAGAGACCGCCTTAAGGGATCTGAAACCTCACAGAGGTGGCTATCGAGAGTCCTATCCAGACGATCCCAATTTAGATCCAACTATAGCGAACAACTTCGCTGCCGCTGCGTTCCGTTTCGCCCACACTTTGTTACCTGGACTGATGAAGGTGACGGACAAGCAAAGAGGAACTTCGTCTTACGTGGAGCTGCACCGAATGCTGTTCAATCCTTACAGTCTTTACGCTGAAGGTGGCGTGAAGAGCTCCGTGACGTCGGCCACGGAGAATGTCATCCAGATGACGTCCACCCATGTCACTTCTCAGCTGACCAATCACCTGTTCGAGGATCCTATCGGGAATGCGACTGTGCCTTGCGGTTTGGATCTGGTGTCGTTGAACATTCAGAGAGGAAGAGATCACGGGCTACCTGGGTACACCAGATGGAGGGAATATTGTGGATTGGGCAGAGCAGAGAGTTTCTCTGATTTGGAGGGACACCTGGATCCCCAGACCCTTCAAGATATTTCTGGGCTGTACGAGTCGGTGCACGATGTTGATCTGTACACTGGAGCCTTGGCTGAGCTGCCAAAGGCTGATGGAGTCGCTGGGCCTACGTTTGCTTGTCTGATCGCGGATCAGTTTGTCAGGTTGCAGAAGAGCGACAGGTTTTGGTATGAAACACCTGGGCAGCCTCATTCGTTCACAGAAGGCAAGTAACTTATTCGAAAATGAAGTTATTTTTTTGTTGAACCAATTAGTCTGTGTATTAACATTTTCCCTTTTTTTTTTATCCTAGATCAACTCCAAGAATTGCGCAAGACGTCGTTAGCAAGGCTGATCTGCGACTGTTCCGACGGAGTGACACAAATTCAGGCGGAAGTGATGAGAGCCATGGGTCCAGACAACCCCATGGTATCCTGCGAGGACATCCCAGCGCCATCATTTGAACCGTGGCGCGAGAACGAATCAAAGAACCCGATATTAAAGGCCACATTCGTGCCAGTCAATTGGACAGAGTTCAAGGACAATATCAACAGCACTATCATGGACGTTGTGAACTACATCAACAACACTAGAGCATCAGCCACGTTGGCCACAGATTGGGTGGCTTTTAAAAATTATGTAAACAATACCTTCTCTGACCTGAGGAATCAAGTGGCTGCTCTTCATCCACCGAAACCGGACAGTCTGGCACCAAAAGAAAGCTTGTCGATGTCTTCAGACACATTCATCTTACGTTCACCTGGTGCAACGAACGTTTACCAAGATTGGATCAGCTTCAAGGCAGAGTTAGTGAAGTCCTTGAATGACTCTATAGGGTCCATGAGCGGTGGGCCAACCTCTGCTGCCAAATGGATAGCTTTCAAACAGAATATCATCGACCAGTTCACCGATCTGAAAAACCAAGTTGCTTCTATGAAGGCTGACGTTGCTCCCAAGTTATCGTTAAAGATGTCTAAAGAAGAGCAGGCATCAATGATGCAAGATAATACCCTTAGGAAGTCAATGATACCAGCAATCTTCGATTGGAAGAACTTCAAGGATGGTATTACGTCCTCTTTGGATAACACCATCATAGACATTGGAGATCACATGCCTCCTCCTGGCGATCCAGCCTGGGCTACCTACGGCAATGATATAAAGGATCGATTCTCTGCTCTGCATGATCAAATAGACAGCAAAAAGTCTCCAAAGGAATTGGCCACAGCAGATTCTGTCGAAGATTGGCTGAACTATAAGGCAGATGTTATCAAGACTGTCAATGATGCTGTGAAGAAGATCAAGGACAGGATGCCTCCTCCTGGTGATCCAGCTTGGGCAACGTACAGGGACGAGATCATGAAGAGTTTTTCTGCTTTTAGACCCACTCCGTCGCCATTGGAGCTTGTTACCTTATCTACTTCCGAGATTTCTCAGCGTGTCAGCTTGGGAGCCTCCAATACTGCCAAGATCGATAATTCTGAGTTGTTTAATTTGACCAAGGATTGGCTAGACTTCCGTGCTGGGATCAACGATTCTCTAACTCGAATTATTCAGGATATACAAAGTAAAAAGCCTGATAGTGTTGATACTGTAGGCTGGATGGCCTTTAAGGAGTCAACCGCAAACGATTTCGCGATGCTGAAGAACGAGATCGCAAGCATGAAAGGGGAATGGGTGGCGGAGATTAATAAACCGAAGTCTAACAAGGATTCACCGACTCTTCAGGTCGCAGCTAAGAAGGCTGACTCTTCGAAATTCGATTACACCAAGTTTATGAAGCCTGTCATCCCAATGGACGAGTGGATCGTCTTCAAGAAACAGATAAACGATACCTTGATGAATCTGTTGAACAAAGCCAACGCCACGAACAAAGTTGACTTCGACGAGATTCATGCGATGTTCAATAAGTCGTTTGCTGACTTGAAGAACGAGATCACTTCACTGAAGAGTCTGATCGCTGAAAATGGTTTGAATCGAACTAATGATTGGATCAGCTTCCAGAAGCAATTGAACTCTACGATTAAAGACCTTGTCGAGGGTGTTGAAAATGAGGGTAAAGGGTCTGCTGGTAATGTAATGAAGATTCTGTTCCAGACGAAGGATAGATTCTCGAATTTGGAATCACCGACAGGTGTGACACCAAATGAGTGGTCACAATATTCCGCCAGTATCAACAAAACACTCACAGACGTTCTGAGAGCCATCAGTGATACGAAGCAGTCAGCATTGTCGCTCAAGGCAGACGTTCCAATGTCCTCATCCAATAAACCGAGGCCTTTGCCCGATTGGTTGCTCGTTCCTTGTCTCGCGAGTCTTTTACACTCACTGTTAAACACCGAATTTTCGCTCGTCCATTGAAAACGAAGATACACGTTTTTACTATACAACCGTTGTACATAATATATTCTATTTATAGAGAAGGTTTTACATGCTAACCGTGTTCCTAAATATGTATCAGTACTGGATACAGGTAACAAAACTAAAATCATCATACGTTAAAAAACTTTTGTAACTGAACAACAAATCACTCGCGCGTCTACATTTAGCCCCAAGGTGTCTTGTACCAGGGGACAAAACCGAGAAAATGAATTTCTTCGTGAAACCATACGTCGAAAGTGTAGAAATAAATGTTTTCCTGATCTCAGTCACGATCAGGGTGGTTTGTCATATTCTACTGTCTCGATTTATTCATTCTCGTCCCGCGGTTCTATCCTGACTGACTATACAGTCTATGTAACGTCATCAATAAGAAAAACAGGTAAAAGGGTACAAGGGGTCAAAGATGCCCTTAGACTGAACTGGAGTTGCTGGACCATTCGATAGCTAACCAAGTCAATTTTCAACTCACTATTATCTCGACCAGGAGGGTAGCAACAGGGAAAATTCAGATCATCGATTTTTCCTACTATTCTGATTGGAATACAGGAAATTATCGATGAGTGTTCAAAGACTCCTCATCATTGAGTGCTCAGACGTCATCTCCATCACTGGGCACTTGACTAGTCCCACGTCGGATCCCCCAGTGGTAGAGATGACGTCTGAACACCCAGTGCCGAGGAGTCTTCATCGATGATTCACTGTATTTCGAGCAGAAGGGTAGGAAAAATCAATAACCCAAACTTTCCCTATTACTATCCTCCTGGTCGTGATAAAGTGCTGAAAATTGTTTTGGTAATCTAACGAATGGTCCCACACAAGTCCAAATCCTCCTCCTATCAGGCTATACTCTTTACCAATGTTAATAACAAACGGTGACAAAAAAAAAAACAGTGAATACGCAAACGTAGAAAAAACTCTAAGTCGAGAGACTCAGCAGTAGAGCAGTGCCCCGTTTGATCCAGAATTCCGATCCTTCGGGGCCAGCGTTCAGGTCAACAACGACAACGAAAGATGGCCGTCCTTGGTCTCCGCTTCTCTGAGGATAATAGTAGCAGGGGCAGTTGTAGAGTCCTGTGCACACAAATTAAACAGTCCCCATTAACCTGGCAGCAATTTCTTCTTCCCCATCATCTTCCTGTCCAGCCTACGTGACCCACTCTGAGGGTTACCTTTTGTCCTCTTCTTGAGATGCTCCGTGGGTCGAAAGTAAATCACTGGCATGGTGCAGACAAGTTGCATGGGGGCCGGCTCGACGAGCACGCTGTTCTTCTTGTCCCAGCCGGCGCCTTCGAGAAATACCGAGCGTATGTACACGCCGTCCTGTAATGGAATGTACACACAAAGGTTATAAACGCGCGGGTCGTCCCTATTTCCCCGGCGATATCGCGACGATGAATTCTTTATCCTCTTATATTTTTCCTGGTTGCGTTACGGGAGGCAGGTAGGAACGGCGTCAAGGAGGTAATTGGATCGACTTTCGATGTGTACCTATTGACGAAACTGTGCATGAGGATCAACCCTTTCGGTCGTCAGACTTCCGGTTAGAATAGTTCATCTTGTTGTTGTCATAGAACACGCCTTTGATTAAACGTTTCTGCTAAGTACTCTGTTGGATTCTGAATTTATTTTCAATTTACACTTTCAATACTGATTTTTAACCCTCGAATATATATTTATCAGAGAAGAAGCATACGAAGGGAGCGAAACAACATTTCAACATTTATCAACGTTCAATGTTTAACTTCGACAAGCTGGACCGTTTTTATAACACAAGAAAAAGTTAGACGTTGGGCAATAAAATTAAAATAAATGTCCAAATAAATTCATAGAATAGGGTGATTACGAGATTGTCAGGGTTTCACTGTTCACATTGACTTTATTTCTCGGGGTTCGTGTGCAAGATAAGATAAGCAGACCCGAAAGGGTTAGATCGTGTTCAACTCGACTCGCGACGATATTAAATTTCGGAAACGCACGTTGTTGTCTTTGCACCCGCGTTCTTGTCTCACACACGCAGCCCGAGACTAGACTCGGAAGTTTGGAGGTCTTACGCAACTCTGTACATATTGGCGGTGACAATGTGCGAGTTCACCGTAATCTAAGTTCCAAAGTGGTGTACATATTTTGGGTGCAGGCTAATGCGAGTTTTCGCGAGGGAAAATTAGCTGCGGAGAAGAGGAGATTGTTTCGCGAACAACGCCGGTGGACTCCTGGTAGATTGCGTTCTGTGCATGGTAGGTTGAATAACCTCGAACGTTCTATCATTTCGATTTGTTGCGACTGTAACCTGTACTTCATATTGTTCATTCCTAAATCTATAGTTAGCAATGAACTATTTACAGAACAACCCTTTTTGGCCTGCTAGCACCAAACAGAAGTTTATCATTGCTTCCCCTTTTTTTTTAACCCTCCATGACTCACCTTTCCTTTTATGGTACAAGCGAAATTTTTCTCTCAAATATCTCTAAAACGAAAGGATTGTCATTAAAAAAAAAACCTTGCAACATTCAACTTTACCCCTCTCACGTCCAGGCCCCTAAATTGTTACTATAAACTTATGAAACTGATACATATGTTATATCTTGTTATTTTGAATCTGAAAAACGAAGTGTCTTTATCATCTAGAATCAGTTGATCCAGAATCTAGTCAATATTAGTCACCTAAGTTCTGAATTTAACTCAAGTTGCAACATACCACAGGTGGCTCGATGATCGCTGACTCGTCGATGGTGAAAACATTGAACTCCCAGGACAGAGAATCGATGGATACGTTCCATAATCTGGCCGACGTCTGTAGTACAGCGGTGAGAAAACCGGTTGGGAACGTGTACGCGGCCAGCCAGAACAGCAACGGCGGATGGGTGGTTCGCGCCCATTCGTCGAAGTGTTCCACACGGCTGACCAGATCCCTGGTCCAGGCACCCAGTAGCTTCAAGGACGGATAAGCGACCAGCCAGGCCGAGGGAACACGTCCCTCGTAGACGGACGTGAAGATCTCCTCCAATGCGGACGACATCAGGACCAGACCTTTAATTGCCTGCTGAAGATCCCGCAGACTGTTACGTGTCTTACGTAGAAGAATATTGTAGCGTTGTATCTCTTGCAACAGGACCACGTCCAACGGCGACTTCTTCGGCCCTATTAGCTTCTGCGTGGTCTCGTAATCGATGTTATTCGGTATCTTCGACAATATGTCCGCGGTTAGCTGTGTCACCTTTGGAAACAGAAAGACAATATTGCTTATTACGAGATCCTTCCAATCTCGGACTTTGCGTGTAGGTAAATTTAGCTTCGTTATTTTTACTTTAAAAATTTTGCCAATTTAACTATTTATCAGTTCATTGTATTAATTTCTACCACTTAAGTTGGGAAAATGAGAGACGGATGAGGGTTAATAAAGACGATACATTAAATAAAATAAATAAATGAAATTCGTCGAAGATCGACTCAAGATCGTGGATGATTTCTTTTGGGTATACTTTTTCCTCCTTGCTGATCTCCTCGCTGGTGGCCGTCTGAACCTGAAGACCCATCAACGTCTTGAACATATTCCGTGTCTCCATGATCAGACAGGTTATGTCCGCATTCGTGTGTTGACCAAACGCTTCTGGTCTGTCCACGCTGGGCAGCACAGCGATGAAATCGCGGTAGGACTCCAAGGAACCGTCCCGCGGCACGTAATAGGTGGGCAACGATGACAAACGATAATTGGGCACAGTCAGCGCGTCCTCATTGAAATATTGTTGCACGTACGTCATCAGCAACCGGCGATCCCAGTCATCGGTCACGTGACCGCCGTAGCAAACACCAGCAACGAGATATTTCAAGGATTCCCATGGAGTGATTGGATATTCGTCCAGGTAGACCTGGAGGAGATTCTCGGACACCTATCCCAAGGGAAACGATATAATTATCATTTAATGGTCAATATTGTAAGTATCTACCCTCCTGATTATGTTAGACAACCGCTTCGAGTTTCTGAAGTATTATAGACGCTGTTAACTTCAGACTATACACACAGGGAGTCGCAAGATAACCGATGTTACGAGAAAACGTGGCGGAGGTTCTTCACCGTTAGAGCAGTTATCAATCCTTTCAGTTTTATGACACTTCGGCACGAGTTACGGAATATGACCCAGTTTTACGAGTTTACCGATTCAAATAAAACGGAAAAATGACTGGTTATCGTCGTAGCACAAGTAGTCCTTTAAGAGGGAGACAATACAGATAATGATGTACGTGTTTAAATCAGGGACTTCTACTGAAACGAAAATTATACCGGTCTTTTCGGTTGCATCTTCGCCCTATATAAGCCCTACCTTTATAGAAATCGAAAAAATACGGGTATTTATTTCTGTTTTCGGTAATATATCGGTTTCGGTATATCATAATGATTGATGGCATAATACCGGTATCAAAATCATACCGGTTTAAGTCCCTGGTTTAAATTCGTCTTCTGTTTTATTGAAAACGCGTCTCGGATTTTCAGGTTATTCTAGGGGATCCCTGTATAAAAGGTCACGGAGAATCGATACCCAGGTATTTCGATCTCCCCCCAATCAGCGTGTTTCTCGCCGAGTATTACCACAAAGTCCGAGTCGTTGAAGCTGTAGACAACGTTCCAGCCCAATTGCTGGAACTTTTTACGTTCGAGGAGAATCGCATGGAAGAATACCAGGGCGAACAGAAGCTTTTTGTACTTGTGCTTCGTTTGGCATAGCTCGAACTGGGTCTCGGTTATTAAACCGTAAAGACGCTTCATGTTCGCCCTCAGACCTTTCGGCGGTTCGGTGGTCATCTTGATACCCGCCTGAAGGATCGATATAGGGAACTGCGGAGTTGGACTGGAGCTCAGCCACAATCTGTAATTAGCCGGGGGAAACCCTTTCATTATCCGACCGTCTAAATTCGCTTTCGTATGCAAATATCAGGGAGCACCTGAACTGTGGGTGGAGAGTTTTACTGGACCCTAATGTCTCCACGATCTTGTCCAATTTCGGCATCCAGCTGAGCGACAAATGACAGTTGGCTAGAAACACCCATGCCCCTTCTGTCGCTCCGACTTCTATCATTCTGTACCAAGATTTATATGGTCCACGTTAATTTATTACAGTAAATACCCGATAAGTGTTCGAAGACTTCTCGGCACTGAACATTAAATATTTGATAAACTAACGGTCGTATGGAGACCTCTCCTTGTCAGTGCTAAGGAGCCTTCGAACACTCATCGAGGATTTACTGCATTCGATTCTGTGGTAAGAGTGTGTGTTTCATGAGGGAACATTCCTGGAAGGGATATTTGAACGGACCTGGTGGCGATAGGGGATTGTCCTTGACCCAGGGACAGAGTCATAAAATGATTAGTCATCTCCTGGCTGTCGACTAATTGCGTCAAAGTGCTCGTAGGATCCACACCAGGCGAGAGAACAAATATGAGTGGGGTCTGGGCGACGGAATCGTCGAGGACGGCTTTCAGGTCGAGTACCGGGGGCTCCACGAATCTTTGACCGAGATTTATCACGATGAAGTGCGCGACGCAGAAGGAGATTCTATCTGGCCGACAGCTTCGTATCACTAGCATCTTCTGGAATGTGTTGCAGTGCGTTTCCCATTCGGCGACCAGTGGTATCGTTTCTGGTTCCGTGCTGACGTACCTGTCCATTCAAACATCAATTGTTATCCAACCATCAAATTGCCCACAGTAGATCCAAACTATCACAAAATATTTGAATATTCAATCGAGCTTGACTATCGATTAACAGAAGTGTCTCTGGATGAAAAAGTCCTATTCGTCACACGTACCACAGATTCCAATCCCGCGGGAACTGCTCGAACGAGGAGACCAGTCCGTGGAATCCAGGAACCTTGTCCAGCTCGGTGACGTTGTCCCAAGTTTCGTCCGGCAGCCATGGAACCGGCTTGTCCGGCTGATTCTCACGATCCAGAACAATCCCGCCGCGCAACAGAAACCCGTACTCGACGTGGGAAACTTTACCCTGGGCGTCCAATATCTTGATGCACATGTTGAACGAGAACAGCAGCTTGTGATGCTCGAACAGACCGCGACACGTGTTTCTGCGCGCAAGCGGAGAGAAGATTTTCAGAACGTATGTAGAGTAAATCATCGATTAATGTCCGAAGGCTCCTCAGCACTGAACATTAAATATTTCATAAGCTAATGGAGGCTGCAACAAATATCATTAGCTTCAGAATTCCAAGCTTTATCGTTATATAATATATACAGGGTGAACCACGAATCGTGATCAGTAGAGATCAGTGCTGACGAGCCTTCGAACATTCATCGATGATTTACTGTATCATAATACAACCGGAGACGGATCCAGATTTATGGAAGGGTTATATACTTGTACAGGGCGTAAGTGTGATACTCGTTCAGGCTTTCGATCCTCTCCTGGAGCTTTACACTCCTCGGGCTCTTCTCGATAGACAGGACAAACAGGGTGACGTACGCGTCCAATGAGAACTGGTACATCGGATCGATCAGGCTCATGTCGTTCAACACGAAGAATAGTATCGCTGCACGCTGGGCGCACGGTCTGTACTCCTCTCTAGCTAGATCGATCTTTTTCTCGGTACTCTCGGACACCACTAACGATTCTTCGATCGTGGACGCGGTCGCTTTCGAGGATTGCAGGGTGCTCAGTAGATCGAGATCGTCTAAGAGGCTATCGCCGGCCACGTTCAGCAAGCTACGAGTGAAAACAGATCTCATCTTAAGTACAGGATTTCGTATAGCTGTATACAGGGTGTCTCATTTAAGTCGAGTATCTATCTTAATTGTGAAAACACAAAAAATATTTTGTACGTAATCTGAATAGTATATTAAGGGGTCAGTATCCTGTAGACGTTGTTTTTTTTTCGAAGTTTTCGAGGTCACATTTGAAAGTCGTATAGTACACACCTGAGTGTATTTTTTCATGAGCTATATGATGCAATAGGAAAAAATATGTAGTTATTCGAACAAAAAAATAACCTTGAAAACTTCTAAAAAAAAAACAACGCCTGCAGGATACTGACCATTAAAATTATTTTATATGTTTAAAATATTTTGTGCGTTTTCACAGTTAAGAAAGGTATTTGGGAGGTCACACTTCAATGAGGCACCCTGTATTGCACCATGGGGATATTCTTGAGTTGCTTCCGCTATTCCAAAACAGAAAATCGAATTCGAAAGTCGAGTGTGTCTTACTGGAGGATTCGGTCCTCGAGCTCTTTGAGGGTTCGTTTATTGCTCGAGATCGTGATGACCAGATTGTCCTTCTGTTCCTCGAGCTGCGGCTTCTCTTTTCTTACCACGATACCCAGGAGCTGGTCTTCCAGTCCTGCGCACAGGATAATAAGGTCGTGGGTGGTCTTCCTTCTACGCCCCCCTCCACCATCTCTTTCTCTGTTTCTAGAATCTATTTCGTTACCCCCTCCCCCAACCGCTCGATCTATTGGCCTTTTTACCGCCAGGTGGCTTTAGTTACCCTGTTCCTTAATGGCGAAGTTGCATAAAGTCGTCTTAGTGGACACCTCTGGTGCGTAATGGGGATTCGCCAGTTTCGTCGTGATGAACAGACGGAAGTTGCTGTTGTAGGAGATCATCTTTTCGTTGAATTTGATCACCACCTGGTTACCTGTACACAAACAGTGACATAAGATAATTGAATGGGTATCTCGAAGAATGACATATGTTACACATTTTCGAAAGTGGCTTCCCGTAGAGTAAGAGTCAGTGGAATGTAGAAAACGTTTTAACAAAGTTTTTAGTACTCGACCGTGGCATTAGAGGTCAGGAGCTTTAATGGTAAGCAATGTATTGTTTGTAGATTTTCCTGCAACTCTAATTTTAACACACGTCCTTCTTCAAGACACCCGTTCAATTATTCGTATGATAGATTTTGGAAACAGTGGTGTACCTAGAGTGACGAAGGATCTGTCGAGGATCGGGTTCAGAGCGGGATCGATCAGCTCCCCGATGTTCTCCAGAAGTACCGGACGACCGAATTGCAGCGCCTGTTCCAGGACCCTCATGAAATCTGCTTGCCCAAAATCGATCACTTTCAGCGACTGGAAAGGTAATTTCGTTGGTTTCAATTCAATTCCGTTGATTGGACCTTACTATTGCCACTGTAGAAACTCATCTAATTATGTATATGTAACATAGAAGGTAATTGACATTTCTGTTCCTCGATACGTACGTTCTTTGTCTCCATGTTCTTGATCCATTTCACCGCCTGACACTGGGGATCGATCACCAGGGGCCATCTGGTCCCCCTGGTCACGATGATACCGTTCTCCGTGCTGAAGTCGTCCGAAGGTAGGCCTTGGATTCGCCACTCCCTGATTATTGCTGGATCTACCAGGAATTCCTTCAAGTTGAGGTCAGGGGAGGTTGTAATTTCTTTCTCTGTCACCTAAAAGTTTTGTCTCGTCATTGATTAGGCCTGGGTTAGATATTCTATCGCTGGTTAAGAATACGGAATACTTGGAAGGGAGAATCGATCGATGTTCTTCAGCTAGATAGACCTATTTGCTACTTAATTGATGCTCGATAACAAGGATAAGGGCACAGAGACACTCGCGAATTAACGATTATTACTTCGACGAATTCGGATAGGGATCGACTCACCTCCTTCATCCACATGCTTATCAGCTCCTCCCTGTAATTGGACACGAAGGGACCCAAATAGGACACAAAGGCGGTGGATATTAGGCAATCACCTGGCAGCCAGTCGAAGTACGTGGCCAGTGAACCGACCGTGTTCTCCCATCGTATTCGTTCCCCGGAAAGACCGTCGACTAGCATCCCGGCCCGTTCCAGTTTCAGCTTCAATAGCTCCGCCTGAAAACACGCGGTACCGTAAGTAGAATCGAGTCAACGGTGGTTGGAATTTTAACATTTCTACCCCTCTTTGGCAGACTTTGAGACATCGAAGGTTCCCCGCGATATACGCTATGAACGACGAAAATTTTCGTCAGTGTTCCTTTTTTAGAATTCACATGAAAATCCTCAAAACACTGAATCTTACCACATTAAACTCATATCATTTATTTATGAATGATCGTCCATTTAGATTGTAGCCAATTTAGCCTTCGGACAGTGATCGAGGATTTACTGTATTTCGACCGGATCTTCGTAATGCCTACGGCAAATCGAACAAAATTGCCCGAAACATAAAAAGTTCGAGAACAGCAAACACGTGAAACGCAAATAAACCGTGAAATCACTTGGTTGTCCATCCCCAGATGGGTGATAAAGTCCGAAAATTCGCGGGGCCAAATACGGCTCGTGTAAATACAGCCGCGGAGCGTGCGATATCTAGTCAGGACGATATTCCCGCCTATAAACAGCATGCAAACGAAACTTTCCGCGCGACAGCTGAAGCGTGAGTTTATGTAAATAGAACCGTTCGGTGACAAGTCCTCCTTCGTCTTTCGTAGCGGTTCAAGCGCGAACATTTCCACGGGACACCGTTCGCGACCATTTCTCCGCGCGAAGATCGCGTATACTCGCCAGTTTAATTAACTCCTCCTTTTCGCGCATCTTCCCGTCGTACATCTCCTGCAGCTTCTCCAGTTTCTCTTGCAATTTTTCGAATTGATGCATCGCCTCCTTGAGGGCATCCTCCTTCTGCTTCAATGACGCCAGCGCCTCGTACAGCTTCTCCCTCTTCGGCGCGACAATTCTACGGTGACATAGAAGACTCTTCGGTGTAATATGAAATGCCACGTCGTGTCGTGTGGTTCGTTTAAAAATCGCGTGGAATGATTTTGGTGAAACCAGGAGAATGGATACTGCTTCGAATGGGTTTCACAATATTTCAACAGGGACAGAATCCGTTTTTTTTTTTTTAAAGATGAGTGAGATGACAGGAAATAAGATTTATCTGACAACTTGATATTTGGGATTACCAAAAAGTAATGACCTTTGTGGTGAATGTCTTTTTAACTTTTTAAACTAATTTCAGGTGAGTCTAAGTGTCATATTTCGACGGCCGAGAACGTTAAGCTAAAACTTACAAGATCTTGACGAAGGGTTATCGAAGACGACGAGGACTATTCGAGTGAAGAGTACCTTCATATGTATTTAGAAATTTGCAGTGAAGTTTATTAAAAAAAATGACATTACTTTCTGGTACTCCCTAATAATATATGTAAGCTGCATGCTATTGGTATTCCAAGTGTCGAAACGCGAGCAACCCTCGTTATAAGTTCCTCAAGGGAACCAAATCGAGTTCGAACGACTGAAAGGAAAAGTTCACTCTGCCGTTTCTCCCGTAGAATTCGGTGGATTCCTGGAGATCCTTCGAGGCAAGATATTTATCGCTGGTTACCTGAACAGCTTCCCGTATTTCTCCATGGCTATGACCCATATGCAGAGCGACTTCGCGGCGATCGATACCTGGCCGACTTTTTCGGGATCAAATTCGGGATTGGATGTGTACCTGGCGATGGCTCTCAGCGTTCTATCGGATATGTGGTCTTTGTCGAAGTCCCGTAGCTAAAACCGAGTATCCAGATAGGTAACGGAGCAAGAGAGAACCGAATCACGGATATTCCGTGGAGTTGGACATATGCATGGTATATTTCCCACCGTGTTGAGAAAGTTCACGTCAGCAAGCTGACGCTTCGACTCCGCCCAGCTCGGCTCGGAGGTCTTCAGGATCATCACCGCCTCCATTACCATCTCGACTTTCGGCGGCGGACGCGTGAAAGATCTTATTTCGGAGATGTCCTTCTTGCTGAGCGCGTCCAGAGCCTGGAAGGGTCGAAGAGGATATATTTGGGGTTGAGACAGTTCTCGCCAAGGGGAACGACGAGTCAGAGAATCTATACATATGTATGAACTCGAGGGAACAGTGGGCGGACCGAGAAATTTATTTGTGAACGGTATCAATCGAGACATCGCCGTGAATTTCGCGTGAATTCGTTCCTCGAGCTCTCTATTCCTGTCGGTCATTGTACAGGATGTTTCATTTAAGAGTGACCCCTCGAATATCCTTAATTGTGAAAACGCGAAAAATATTTTCTACGTAGTTTGAATAGGATTAATTGTTTAGTATCCTGCAGGCGTTGTTTTGGTTAAATGTTTATTAATAATCGTACCACTCTATAAATTCGGTTTACGTCACCGGTATTCACAGGCTGTTATACTTTTAAATTCCACTCCGAACGACGAAAGAGAAAGTTTCGAGGGACGAGCTGTTCGTAAGGGACGTACGATTCGACGGCGATAAATTCGCGATCAGATGTACGCTTTAAATTTCCCCCTTCAGGGAACTTTTAAACAAAGTAACGAAAGCAAATTTATACAACATCCCCTTCCCCCATCTTATTTCCACCGATGGGGAGGCCACCCCGCTCTGTGGAACTTCCCTCGACTGCATAAAATTCCGACCGAGAAGTACCAGCGCGGACGGTTCAGCTGAAACAAGTTTTATACCGGTCACAATCGAATTCCCTATTTTACCTACCGAGCCGAACGGTTACGCCCCCTTCATCCCCACCCTCATAGACCGTGAATCTGGCAAAGTGGTGCTCAATCATTAAGAGCAAACGAGCTGGAACAGTATTATCGGCGGAACGATAAGAATTAATGTGGGATAGAGGATGGTTGGGTAAGGTACCTTCATGGCCTCGTTCAGAGCTGGTTCGACAGTTTCGAGGTCAGCGCGAGCCAGCTCTTCGAGCGCCTTGCATTCCTTTTGCTCCTCGGCGATCCGATTCGATCTGGCCGTTACGGTTTTCTGCGTCTCGTCGGCGTCCCGTCTCTGATTCACTTGAGAACCACACCGAAAATTAAATGTGTGAACCATTCTCGATTCTATACGATTTGAGGTTATGTTCGAGATTATTGATACAATTTTATGGAGCCCACGGCTGTTGGGGATGGTAAAATTATTAGGGATGGCCTTCTGGAAACTTCGAAACCTTCGAGAACTAAGAAAATTCCGAGTTTCGAGAAGTCGAAACTTTGCGCATTTTTCGTGATTCGAAATTCTTCAAACCAAGATAAGAAAATATATAAAATCGACGAATAAATCCCGAATACTCGGCGCGAGATGCTTCCTGAATGCTCGGTGATCGATTTTGGAAGTTCTTAAAAGTTTCGAAATTTTACAAAGTTCCAATTTTTAAATTTGTCGCCAACCCACCCTTAAAAATAATTATACAACGAACTCTAGGTCATAGAAACCTTCCGTTGCATCGACTTAATTGCAGCCAAATAGTAATACATCATCGTCAGGTGTTGACGCGCGCTCACCTATGGTCACCAGGAACTCTTCGCATTCCCTGGTAGATTTATGAACCTGCTCCTGCGTGACTTCGAGCTCGGCAGCCATTTCATTCACTTTGACTCGGGTGTCGTCGATCTTCGAGAGGCCGTTCCGAAGTTTGTTCGCCTGGTCCGCTAATTCCTGCCTCTTTTCCGCGAGCATTCTGAAATCCAAAAGGACATGACACAATTCCATTGAATCGACAAGTTGTTTTGTACAGGGTGTTTCATTAAACTGAGTCTTTAGACGCAATGAAAATGCGCTCAAAGTTTGTCCTTTCGACAAAAGGTATTATTCTTGTTTCAAAATGGAGGATATCAGAGTTGTTTTCGACCCTTTAAACGGTCTGTGTCACGGTCTTCTTATCGGATAGGTTCAATCGTCCGCGAGCGCAAGCACCGAACTTCCTCGAGGAATATTTTCTGGAAGTTCTAAAATTACGGCGGAAATATTTCGGACGATAAAGCTCACGTCGTACACTCGGTACATGTGGCGAGAGTAACTCGACGGCAATTGGAATCGTTGAACGGAGGAAATAACTTCAAACGAGTTTAACCCTTTAACGCAAAGACACTTGAATCGTTGTTTGAAAATTATACCAAGAAAATATCGATATTAAACCACTTATTTAAAAAATATTTTTAAGTTTATTTTTAACCCTTTAACCCCCAAACACCTTTTTCGGGGAAAAAAATTATTTCTTTCAATTCGTTTATTCAAGTTCATTCGTAGAATTTCAATGGCGACTCTAGCATAGACTCACGTTTTATAGCCAGCGACCAGTTCGAGGAAATTCACCGGTGTCACGTAATTGTACCGCTTCATCTCCATGGCCATTCTACGCGAAAACTGTGACACACTCTCGTGAATTAGAGAGAAGGTCCCCGCTATTCCATCCCGCATACGTTCCTGAAGCGGAGGCAACGGAATCGCCGTCGCGGATTGTCGTGGTTCCTGTTAACAATTTTTTTTTATCAAATTAAGAAAGAAAGCCAAACCTCCTCCATACCCAAAATAACAATTATCATCATTTAAAAAAATAAAAAATAATAAATCACGAAGTATTGTATCAATACGTTCGCTGCCGCCATTTTGTTGGGAAACATTTCTTCACGGGCCACCCTACGTTTCCAACGTTATCGATTAATAGACTGTAGATTTTACGTATTTAAACTATTATACACTCATAGGAATAAAAAAAATACACGATACCAATGTTGTATTTCGTACTTTAAAATATGTATCGATATGGCAACAGTGAGAACGAAAGGGGTAATAACCAAATATAACAGCCGAAGTGACGTGAAAACTCTACCATAAAATACACAAAAGAAAAAAAAACTGAAAATTACGATATCTACTCCGCCGTTAGTTTTCCGTTAAAAATAGTCCAAGCCAGCGGGTGAAGTGAATCGAATACCGCGACAGCAAAGAGGAATTGTCCCGCCGCAAACTCGTGGGGAGGGGCGTCGGCCCGACGAGTCTAGGTCAGCGCGCGACAAATTCAAAAATATTAAGCGGCCGATCGGCGGGAACGCTCGGACGATTGCGTTCCAGAAGGGAAACGCGCTAGACGGTCGCATGATCCGCCCGTTGGGAGGAAGAAGAGGACGATACAGTAGTAGTGGTAGTAGTGGGTGGAACGGCGAGCCATGGAGAGGAAAATAATCGGATTCCACGAAATGGAGAGAGGACCCGTGGAGAAACGCCATCTCTCCGCCTCTCGCTTGGCGGATTGTACGACCGTCTCCTCGATCCTGCGGAAACGAATCGAATGGAATCGATCGCGCGGAAAGAGAGGTTAGGAAATATGGGGGAGGAGGTACAGCGGATGAAAAGGGAAGGGGGAAGAGGTACGACGGACGGAAGGGGCCCGAACACGGAGGACCAACCGCTTTATTTTCGCCGGTGATAGTGAGCGTCAGATTGAGATTCATGAGGAACTTGTTGCCAACTTCGAGCAGAGCTTCCCGCGGCCATTCCAGAAACCAATCGATGGTTGTGCAGTTGATCAGGGCCGGGTACTGGCGTAATCTGTTCCTGAACGCGTCCCCGACCGGGCTCATGCACAGCACCAGATGCATATTGGCGCGCGCCCTCTCGATCAGCAGCGCGTAGATCGTCTCGGTTGTTGGTACACGTCCAGCTTTGATCGCGTCCTTCGACAGTTGCTTTTTAATCTGGCCAGAGAACGAGAAAACGAGAAACACGATGGAGGAGAGCATTGGTGGTGGTCGGGCGAGTAAGGAATTTGCTTGTCGGGAAAATTGTACTTCCCGCGTGGGGATCCAATATGCGCGGACGGATTAGACCGCGGGAAAAAGGGGGAAACGGATGGAGAACGCCAGGAGTAATGTCGGATCGCGAGAGAGGGCAAGAAGTTGGAGATTTGTCGCGATATTGGAACTGGATCCTCCGTTTGTTGGGGTTCGAGGGGATTTTTGAATGTACGTGGGTCGTTTGGAAAGTTGGGTAGGTACTACGGATAATATCATCGGTAGTTCCTGAAATTTTTAGTTCATCCAACATCTTCGTTGTATGGATTCACTGTAACGTATATACTACTGTTATAATGACACGAAGTGTGTTCACAAAAGGCTGTCACCTTTGTGTGACTAAATTATTTACCAATATGGGAATTGTATTTCAAAATTAAAAGAAATTGATTATAAATAGATGATACTACGTCTTATATAAAAGTTTTGGACACCTAAAGAGGATTATATTAAAAAATAAAACGATATAAGTTCTTCATCCACTCCGAACCGAGAACTTTTCAAACGACCCAGGTATCAACTCGTCGATCCTGTCGAATGGGTGAAATGGTATCGAAAGAATAGATTATCTTTAATATCGTAGCTTTACCTCTTCCATTTCGTCGCTTTTAAACAGGTTGGCCACCTCGCCTGTGCTCAATATACTGTTCACAACTTCCAAGAATTGTTCCTCGACTACCTGGGTGTCGTTGAAAAGGAACGACATCGCCTTGTTCTCGACGCCGGTCTTCGAGTACAGAACCTTCAGGTCCTCGCGAAATTCCGGTAGCTTGTACAATTTCGTGACCGAGATTTGGAAGGTGGTCAGCTCGCACATGTAGCCCGCAATCCGTGACAACGATTGTCGTCCGCTACCACCGACTCCCACCAGAAGCATGTTGCCTCGAGGCTATAGGAATCGTATCGAATCATATCAAATATACGAAAGGGCTTATTGCATGTTGAGTAAATAAGTATATAAATAAATAAAGGAAGAAAAGTAAGAAATCGATTAATGGACTGGAATACATCACGAACTTGAGAGATCACGCGAACGATTCGGCATATGTGCTCGATCGCGTCCCGGAAGAGAATAAGATCGAGGCGAACCACACCCGTGGAGGCGTTGTATTCGTCCATTTGCGACTCGATGTGCGTTCTCACGGCGCCGATGTCTGCTAAGTCTTCGTATATGTCCCAGGCGTTCATGAAGCTACCTGTCAGTGTCCATTTTAGGAACAGTAGATTCAGTAATTACCTACGTTGAAGATCATCTTCCCTAGATTAAGGTCATATTTTGAAGCTTACCAAAAATTGGACACCTTTTCTCCGGGCAGATATTACTGAAAGTCATCTCGAAGTATTTTCCAAGCTGACGACTAAGCTCATCCAGGAACCAATCTCTGTCCCTAAAAAGACATTCAACATTCTTATTATCTGTTCCTTATTATAATTTATACATAAATACGAATGAAACTTTATTGAAACCTTCTTTTGCTTGTAGTCTAGTTATGAGTGCTTACTTCTCGTCGATGAGTCTGTCACAGAACACTCGGAACGTCTCGTGCATCCACAATCGAAGGAACGTTGATCTAGAGTATTGGTAGTCTATATGACTGCGCAGCAAACCTTGGAACACCTTTCATAACCCAAACAAAATTCTTAATTCGTAATATTTCTAATAAATTTGTACAGACAATTTTACCTTGGATATGTCTCGTAAATTAAACAGATAGTGCATTTTCGCCGGAGTTGGCAGCATCGTTTGGATGACGTGATTGTAGAGATCGATGGTGGCCAATGTGACCTCGTTACCTGATCAAAAACAGAGATCCTCATTCACAATTTCTACAAAGATACATATTTATCATACGTTACTAACTTATTCCCTTGACTTCCGAATGAAAGTCGGCCAAATGTTGATTCAGCATCGTTCCGTATATCCTCACGATTTGCTTCTCGACGGGGAACGTCATGTTGATAACGTTGAACTTCGTCAGAAGTCGATTCGTGATTACGTTACGTCCCCCGCCAGGTGGGCCCATGGCGGCCATTAAATGCACTCTTTGCACGTACTTCCTGATCTGCTTCCGGCGATCGTACCTTTACAAATAAATCCTCGATTATTCATAATTCCATTACAACACACGAATCATTAATGTTTCGTGTCGTGCATCACAATTAATGGACACAAGAAGAATTGAATATTAGAAAAGTGTAGAAAGAATTGAACGAATCAAATTTACCAGAATCCATATCCTATCAATTGTCGGATGAGTTCCAGGGGCGGCTGGGAGCCATAAGTCTCTTTCATGGGCATGTTGAAGTCATCCATGAAGGAGATCATTTTTTTCCCACTGATTGGGATGTAGATCCCTTTCGTGCGTTTCTCCAGTCTGCTCTCAAGCGTATCCTGAGAAACAATTCTCAAACGTTAACACTAGACTACCGAAGGTGAACGTGTTTTTATTCCTATCAAGTTGATATATAGTTTGTTGAAAATATGTTAATCGATAAATTAACGAACTTCTTCACTAAATATATTGCAATGAAAGTTTCGAAGAATTTCAGAAAATATATCTCTGACTTGAAAAACGAAGCAAAATAAACATTCCAATAAAATTTAATATTATTTATGTATTATTATTACCACAACAGAAATTTCTGTGCAATTCTGTTTTTTCCATATTAGCCTCCAAAATTGTTAATTTGCGTAAACATCCGCTGCCTACTTACAACTCTCGACAGTTGCAATTTTTATGAAGTTACGAGCATCACCTGTATGTTCTTCGAGGTGGTCTGAGCAGACATGTTCAATGTCAGAACGGCATATTTTTCAGTGTTCAAGGAGTTCAGGATTGTATGGAACATCGAGGTCTTCCCTGTGCCCACAGGGCCCACAAGTAACACAGGGAACTCGTTCCTCAGCAGGGAACCGATGATGTACTCGTATCGGACCGTGTCCACAGTCGGGACATTGATTTTGTAGAATGGCGTCCTGCGATTCATCGTGCGTTATTCGGTCAGAAAAAAATTATGGATTCGATATTCGTAGATGGAAATGTCTATCCACGCACCCTGATTGAATCCTCCATGCCTGAGGCAACCTCTCCTCCCACGAGACGAACGCTCGCAGACGAGAGTCGACGAAGTACTCGTAAACGGTGTCGCGGAGTGGAAAAGAGCCCTCGATCTCGCGGATGTAATTGTCCACCCTGTAGCGACCCTCCTCGTTCACGGAACCGCAGATCGACCAGATCATACTGCGAATTTAAACGAAAGTCCACTTGGTTGTTTCGATATTTTTATAACAGGACTCGAGTGAATGGAAATTCATTAGAACTTTTTAAAAATTGACGTTGAGGGGCTGACGATCGATGAGGACTTTGGTCTGTTGGAGATGGGACTTTTTAATAGTGCTACAACTTTCTGTCCAACTGGAAGTTACTAGAAAAAAGAATACACACTACTGTTCATTAGTATTTGTCCTCTTATCGAAGTTTACTTATTTTCGTTTTTACAGTACACTTTCAGAATCTTCAATAAAGGGCCATGAATTTTGCTTGCTTTATGGCCCTCGACTAGCTCCTCTGATAAAGGTCGATTTTTTTTAGTAGAGCGAATTTAATATGGATTTAGAAAAATACTTTTGAGTTGACAATATTCAACACGTTTTCTACCACCATATAGTTTCGAAAATAGTCACACACCACTCTTCGGTAGAATGTTTTTACTTTCTTGATTATATATTTAAAATACATGAAACAACGATAATTAATAACACAAAATATAGGTGAATATTCTGAAACACATTTTGCTTTCATCAAATATAGTACGCTGACTTAAAAATTGGAGGGTGATACGCATATGACGTCTAGTGGGGAACGTGTTAATTAACTCGATGAGATTAACTTTAATTTAACTTGATAGTGTACGTACCAGAAGAAGAACCACATTTTCGTGATATTTGCGAATACGTCTCTGTCCCCTGTGAACTCTACTCCGTTTTCGGGGGTGGCCAGCACCTCGAGAAGCTTGCACAACGATTGAACTGCGTTCAGTTCTGGTACAGGGACCAGTTCCTCGCATTTCAGTCTTTTAAATTCGATGGTAGTGTGCACGTACTCCTCGAACAGTTTCTGCATCTGTCTCGTAAGAAGATCTTACTAGGCTGGAGTGTAAGTATTCCACCATTTCGAGGTATCTTACCTCCTCTGTGAATTCTGGTTTTCCGTTGTATTTTAGTAACCAGGATGTCATGTACGGTTTCCAACCGAGGTCTTTGTAATCGTTGTAGACCATACCAGCTCTGGAAACAGTCGCAGGAGAGGCGACTGCTAGATCCTGAACCTCGAATAATAGGGACACTTGGTCGGGCATCGTGATACGATCATTGTTTATCAGTGTTAAAACCTGGCGAAAGAATTAGCATGATTGTTTTAAAAGGAAAGTCAAGGAACGGGTAAGATCCAATGAAACTGGAGAAGAATCTGAAGGAAACTGACAAAATTTCCGAAGGGAAAACAAAAGATATTCGACGAGACTGGAGAACGAAGGTAAATGGAAACACGATATGGGAGACTGGATTCTAGCTGAGGTCTGCAGAAAATAGAACCTTGGCGAGTTGATAAGCAGGAAAGAAATATACAGTACTGCAGAAAAATTGGAAGAAAATACTGATCGAAAGTGAACCGAGGATCGACTATTTAATAATTCTATGATTTAAACGGTACAATAGAAGACGTAAAGAGATCTGACAGTCATCAGACTATTGCAAATAAGACTATTAAGAAGGTACTGAAGAAAATGTGAACAGATCTGACAGAATCCAACTACTACAAACAAGACTGCTTAATAATTCCATGATCCAGAGGGTACTGAAGAAGATCTAAATAAATCTGACAGAAATTCACCTACTACAAATAAGATCTAACCTCATCAACCAAGTAAAGTTACATTCTACCAAAGTATCATCGAACTTGCTTTATTATCGTCCATGACGCTGTTCATGTTCTCTATCCAGTCAGCGTCCACAGGCCCGTCAAAGAGGATCCATTTCTCGTCAGGTGTGTCCTCTGTGAAAACGTAGACAAGAAGAATTCTATCTGAGTCGGTTCATCGAGCCACCCGATGGGACAAAAATCGGTATTATACCGGAACAGGTTTTCCGCATGATCGAGGATATCACGCCGTCGTGCCATTCGCCAGTCGAGAGATTGTATTCGCCGTACAGCTCGCCGAGGCTCAACGCTTTCGGATTGATGGGATGCACATGGACGACGTTGTGGCCCGGTTTCTTGTCGTTCTTCATGCTGGTCTTCGTGTTCTGCAGTATCTGCCAGGTGACCGTTTTCGCAGTGTTCGACTCGCCGACCATCATCGTCGAGTGTCTCGAGCTCATCGTCTCGTACAGTTCGATAACTTTCGTCAGTATCAGGGGAATAGGCTGCGAACAACGTTAAGTCTGTCGAACTGGGGATGCACCCTACGTGATCGTCTGGGGGACGTTAATGATGTCTGGGAGGGTTGAAATTGCCCATGTAAGGAAATTCGAGTTGGTGAAGGTTGTTGAATTTGGGCCATCGCCTAGACTGTAACTTGTCACGTGTAAGGCTAGGTCCAATTTCGGTGAAGATATTTGCCCAATTTGGTTAATTATCTACAAAGGTGATCGATAAAGTATCGACAATATCCACGGTAATAATATTGATGTCTCTTAAACCCTTAGTTACTCTCGAATTTTAGGTACAACTGGATCCAATGGAGCCAAGCACAGCGATTGACCGAAATTCCGACGATTATTAACAATTCTCCCCGGTGAGATAATAGACTCGATTCAATTTCCACAAGGCGGACGGGAAAACCTGGATTATCGATATTCAATGTGCACCGTTTCAAATTTACAGGCTGGTAATTTCCTCTCGATCGATAGATCGAATTCCTCGATTAAACGACAAGCTTATAAAAATTCGTCGGGGGGAAAGGCATCGTCTACGACCGGCTGGATCGTTTACAACCGGTTTCTCCCCCCCCCCAGACGAGATTACCTGAAGCTTCAGCTTGATCGCCTCCTTGGTTATATAAGCGATAATTTCCTCGTAATCGACGCTCGGCACCTCCACGTCCGGGAATAGATCGCTGGTGATGCCAAGGAACAACGGTAGATCGTCGGATGTGAGTTTAGCGATGTTCATATCCTTCATCGCCAGGATGATCACCTGTGTGTCACAAGAATTCCATTGGTGTCCGGTTGCAATGGTTCACTGACATCTGATGCTCGTCCCGTGACGATAACAATCAGCAAATAGAGACGTTTGCGTGGGTGAGACTCTCTTAGACGAGTTGACAGTGACGGAACGGAGAAAGGAGGAGACGAACAGATCGATGTATCAGGAGAAAATGATGAGGATCTACTGAGTTATTTAGCAGCAGAGAACAAATGGAGATTTTGATTGTATAGAAAGGTAACCTTTCTGCTGGTGGTCTAAATCAGTTCAGAAGAATGATCCTCTGTGATTGGAATAATGGATGACCAACCAACAATATTCCAATTTTAGAGGATTATCCTAAAGACCCTAACTGATAAACGTGACCAAGCTGCTGTGTCCAATAACAAAACCCATTAAATAGATTATACTAATCCTATTAAATAGCAGCCGGTGGATAATGCATTAGGATATCCGCGGGTTTCCAGCAACACAGTAAATCCTCGATGAGTGTCCGAAGACTCTTCAGCACTGACAAGGAGAGGTCCTCAGCTGTAACGCTGACTTTTTAATGACGTTTGGCAATGATATTTGTTTCAGTCGCATATGCTCATTAGTTTATAAAATATTTAATGTTCTGTACCGAGAAGCCTTCGAACACTAATAGAGGATTTACTCTATATATTAAAGTCTGACTTCCTTCGATTTTACCTCGTCATCTGGTAAATTCGGGTAGAGCCTCTTCTTCTTGCCAGCGTACCTGGTCAAAGTCACGATACCTCTCAAACCAAAGTCGTAGTGATACTGTTTGCTGAGCTGTTGCTGGGCCAGCGTGTACAAAGTGAAAACCTGCGGATCGATCCACGTTATTTTTTAATTATTTTCTTGACGACAATGTAGCCAGGACGAACAGGATCATGAACGATACCTTTCTAGCCAAAATTCTGGTGTTCTCGAAACCCTCGCCGAACAGATTGATCTCAGCGATCATGCCACTGTCAGGCACCATCATCGAGATCGGCCGGAACATTGACTTCAGATTGTCTGGTAGCTCTGTTCTACCAGCGTAACCAGGATTCATCGTGATGAAAATACCGCATGTGTGTACCAACGATATCTCCGTGCCCTCGAACACGAATTTGTTCATTTTCTGCGAGATCGCTGTGAGTATAGAGAGTATCTGTTGCGCCACCACCGACAATACCTCGATGTTTATGCTGTCGTTAAGAAGAAAAGGAACTCGATTACCTCGTAAAAATGACGACGGGACGCGAGTGTTCGTTGTGTTATCAACGGGACAGTTGTGTCCACGGTTTATCGATCGATTAAGACGGTGACTGCCACAGTAGAAAAAGCAGTACGTAGTCAGACACACCTTATCTCGTTTTAATTTTAGTTTAATTTAATTCGTATGGGTACAAACCCTATTTTATAATATGCAATTTAACACGTTCCAATACATGGATAGGACAAATAATAGAATAGAATTTAGGTGAGACTTTGAACTATTGAAATCGATTTAAGGGAAGATCCTCTATGTAGAAATGGTGAACTTTGCATTAATTCCCTTAAGTAATGGACTTTAGACTGTTTTAAAAATATGAACTTAATATCATTGCTAGACTATTATGTACCTATATTAAAAACTGGACGACTTAGAACGAAATAATTTGTACCACCGGAAAGATTGATACACTCTGGCTCCGGGGTCCAGATATACGTTCAGTTTATAGAGAATGTTGGTCTTATTTTAAATTATACTGCAATATTAATTTTACTCAAAACTTTGTAACAGTATTTTAATAATCTAATAAGTGTCATCCATATTTGGGTGACGTGGCAGTTAAAGTGTTAAGAAAACGCTTTTCTAAAGTGGCGATTATGCAAAAGTATAAAACGTGAAAATATCAAGTTTGATGGATGCTTCACGGTCTGTACTCACCGATTAAATTCGTCGAAGCAACCCCATGCACCGGTCTGCGCCAGCCCGGAGAACAGCCTCCCCATACTTTTATAGTCCAACCCTTCGGAACAGTTCACCACGATCACGTTGAATCCAAGCGCTTTACCAAGATCCTTCACGGTCTCAGTTTTACCTGTCCCAGCTGGCCCCTTTGGACTGCCACCGCGGTACAGGTGGAGGGCGGTGGTCAGAGTGATGTAGCACCTGTCAACAAGATGGAATCGTTAATTGAAACAGGTTATCACATGTGTGATTCTGCCCTACTCTGTCTTATTATTTTTATTATTTCAGATCTATTATTCACAAACTGCTATGCTCCATACAAATAAAAAGAGTGGTGTACAGTATGGAAAACATAACTTGAACAAATTAATTATTTCTGTTACTAGTGGACCTATTCAAATTATTCTTTTTGTAAATATCTAGTAACTGACTAATATTCACAGTATATCTTGAAGTTTCGTAACTTTCATTGTTTACATCTTCACAATTATCGAGTGTCTACGCCTAATAAAAACGAAAGTATATGCGTGTTTAGGTGGTACAATCCGTAGACAGTTCTGACTTCTTCACACAAAAAGAAAAGGAATTTAAATCGTTAAGTCCTCCAGAATAATGCTACGACGCAACCATGAATATAAATTCTCCCAGCGTTCTATACGAGAACGAACGAGCCAGAAAACAATCATACAGTTCGAAAATCTCCAATAGATCTCAACTCAATAAAGAGTCCGAAATCTTCTGTAAAACGGTTCCACGGGCTCGGACAACGCCACGAACCGTCGTTTAATACGTTTCGAACGGGGGCGCGGCGACGACGCACGGTCGGCTACGGGGAATCGAGGAAGGGGGCGTCGTCGTCGTCTTGGCGTTCTTCTTTCCACAAGACAAATTTACCCGGGGGCCGGTAACAAATGTATCGGGATGGTTCCCGGAGCTCCTGTCCATAAATTAGACGCGTGGGGGGCGGTACCCTTTTATCGCGATTAAATCGATACCAGGTTAAGTATCGTAGACGCCCGGCCCGCGGGCGATCCGTTTCCTTTGATGTCACGCCGCGCAAACTATCGCAGCCGCCTCTCGAAACCGACCACGAGATTGTATCGTGTCCTACGTGTACATCAACCTGGGCTTCGTGTCACCTTGTATTACGCACTCGACGAACGAAAATTTCGTTTGCCTGCCTTTAGGGAATTTTGCGCGATCAACATCCCTCTGCTGGTACCAGAACGCTGCTAAACACGAATCTAGGCTTTACACGATGGATGTGTAACGTGGATGAGTTATCTACACTGAAAGGTGTATTTTATTCGAAGTAAACATCCAAAGTGTTCAGTGAACAAAGTAGACCGAGTATGTATTTGTGGAAGAATTTAATGGAATCTGGATAAATCATCTGGGATGCATATCGAAAGTTTATATTCACCGTAATCTTTCTTTGATTAGCTGAGAATCGACGGAACTGACGTTTCACTTATCTGACATATATATTTTTGTAGTGTCATTCGAAAGAAAATTGTTGAAAAATTATTATTAAACATTTAGGCAATGTAGGAGGCTTGTACCTGTTCACAAATATTCTTAAATAGGGGCACTTACAAATCATCCCCTATATTAGACCCTATCCTTGTGAGGCTGTTCTAAGAACACAGTACATTCCATGTATGTTCTACGGTTATATTGCCAGCCTTCGATCGAATGAGTAAAACTTTGTATGATAATGAGAAGTTATACTCCACCACGTCAATCGTGAAATCACGCGAGAAATTCGAGGACGCGAGGACGGTAAGGCTGCGAACGGTGAAACGAGGTCACGCGTGAAAGCGATTCCCATTACAAACGCGTATACCGGTCGAGAGCGAGTTACACGCAGGTCGATAGCGCAATACGGTGTAATTAGGTCAGGGGTCGCGACGATTCCCGTCACCGCATGAGATTACAATTACAACCGAGATCCCACCGCCATCCTATCGAGCCCATTATCGTAATATTGACTTCGTTACGATTGATAGAATACCATCGGTTGCGGTTCGACTATGAAATTGTCCAAAAGCTTTCACACCTGGAGCATTTAACTCGAAACCTTGTCACCTTTTGCTCGACAAATCATTTTAACGAACGATCCTGATGTCTGTAAAGAGATCGAATCTCGTGGACGGCGGTAGGTGGGTCCAGATAGACCCAAAGTATAGAGTTTCAGTACGAATTTCTTCCAAATATGCTGGTCTTCTTAGAAAATGCTAATATAAACAACAAAAATAAAAAAATTTCAAACTATTCCTCTAAACAAGAAAAAAAATTAAAAAATTTCAATTTCTTTCCTTACCCCAAAATGATGAGCGAAGTTTCTGAAATTCTGAGTCAAAACGGACCCAAAAACCGTCGTCCAAAGGTTAATCAACGCTGGAACAGCCAATCAACGTTAGACGCTGGCTGGTTTCGACGGTTTCGCAAGCGAGGTGAATCTTCAAAAATATGTACACGAGTTCAAAGACAGCCTAAGGCGATGAGTTTCGGACCGGAAGAAGCTTGGAAGGCGCAATCAACGTTAATCAACGGTTCTTAGGGACGAAGGGATGGCAGCGGCAATGAGATCCTGGAAACTTCGCGATGTAACTTCGTCTTCGTAGATTACTAGGGCAAGCATGGAGCGCAAAGTGACAAATTTTACGTGAAATATCAGACACGCTTAACGTTAATCAAACGTTTGCTTGAAATTCTAAACGAAGCGGAGGCTAAAGTAGGAATGGTCCTTTGTGAGTTGAGAGTCGAAAAAAACGAGAAAACTGTATTACCGATCGGTCAAGGGCGTTATGACCAGACGTCCGCTGGTCCCAAGGTACTCGTACCCGTAGACGAAGTGCGTGTTCGTTTGCCATACAATGCAGTCGTCGATGTCTTTGTCCCAGTAGAACCGTAGCTGCGACAGCCACTCGAACTCTGACACGTCTTTGCAATCTGAAATTGTTTGGTAAATTCTTGAAAGAATATTTGTTGTTTTCTAGGTCGAATTTTTTCTATATATTATGATGAATTCGTGTTCTTTGGATCAATAGATTGATTAACTAAATTCTTTGGAAAAATGAAGTTTGAACCGTTTAAGAATTCAGGCGACGAATTGTTGTAAACGCTTGATCGAACTTTCCGTTTGTTGTTTACAGGACGACGACGGGGACAAGAAGACAAACGGAAATTACCACCGGTGTGTCCAAACAATCGAACAACGGGCAGCCTGCATTAGTTTAATCCACACGATATGCCCATTAATCCGCGATGCGTTCCTGTTCTCGATAAATCGGCGCGCCTCTCGGTTGACGCAACGCGTTTGCCAGATATATTACAGCTCTACGGATCGGCCAAATATTGTGCCTGTTCACTTAACAATGTTTACCGGTCGCCCGCGGCAAATTGTTTCCACGATTGCAAGGATAATACTACGGATCCTGGTCCCACCTATCTGTCCGACCGTTTATCTATTTTCGACCCAATACCGACGAGATGAATTTACGAGGGACCCCAGTTGGGGAGATGGTTCGACCACCCTATCGCGAACACGGGTTTCGTTGGAAGGTCGTAACATGGCAAATATCTGGTTAAATTCGGTGCAATCCATAATTTGTAACTGGCAGTTGTATTCGTATTTAAGACTGTTAATAACCTTATTTAATGTCCTCATCTCCTCGAGTTGGTAAATCTCCATGCCCCCATCAAGTCATCAATGACTAAATCAGATCCAATAACTATTTCAGCACTGATATAGCTTTGCACACTAATGGGGACTTATCCCCGTTTATTTCTTATTATCATCTGTATCAATAAAGATGATATATATGTATATATAACCGAGGTCTAAAGGTGACGACGAAAAGGTGCTAGATAAGCCGTCTAGATTTAAAGTAGGATGATTGATACACTTACTGGATCTGTACATCTTCTCGACAACGTCCCTAGCGTGGATCTCGATCACCACGATCGCCTTGAACTTCAGACGATCCAATCGACTCAAGTCGCTCCTGATCGCCTCCGAGTACTTGTTCAGCGCCTGATTCTGACGTCTTCGTAGTTTCTTCAGCGGTCGTCTCGAGTCTAACAACCTTTAATCGTGTCGTTTACTATTAATTTATATAGAAATCGTTTCCCCTGTATATAAGGGTGTCTTATTCAAAATGGAAAAAATATTCTTTACGTTATTTGTATGGAAGTGGTCAATATCCTGTAGGCGTTGTACTACATCAACCGCATTCAATCTTTGTTTTTGGAAAGACGTAATACAACATCATCCGACATCAAAGTGTTAACAAAATTATTCGGTGGGGTCACACGCAAACAAGACACCCTGTATATTCGACGTCAAACAGCCATAAACGTGATCTTAAACGGCACCGAAAAGCCCCTCGACGCTTCTAATCTTCCCCTAAAATGTGCCCACCATCCTCCAGCGCACTTCTCTACACAGCCCCCAGGCACGGACATTTAGCCAGGTGGTACCCAGGTCCAAAAGCGTAAATTTTTATCCACCGTCCCCGGTTCTCCCGCGAACAGCATAATCAGCCTCTTTGTCCGACACCTCTACATACACCCTTCTTTTTACTTCTTTCGTCGGTCCCTCGAGCGGCCTCGGGACGCCCTCCCCCTCTTTCGGTTAACAGAGAGATGCGACGCAGGGTGCACGGTTACCACCTAGCCCCCACGGTTACACGAACACGTTAGAAGAGGGTGTCCCGGGACGGGAGGGATTTTCTCCGGTTAGACGACGACGTAGGGAAGGGGGTGGTGGGGGAATATGGACGGTCCAGGGTGTGGGTTAAATTATTCTCAGTACGGCTAGTATATGCAAACGAGGGTAGGAAGGATGCGCACCCCGGGCTGGATCGTAGCACGAGAGCCAGAATATGCAAAATTTCCCCTTATTAGAGTTACCGTGTCCCTCTACCCGCGATCCTCCACCACCCCCTATGTCTCTCACTTTCTCCCGTTTGGTACACCCTATATCCCCCTCCCCTCTGTCTTCCTTTCTAGCCGTCTCCAACAGCGTTCCAGTAGGGAGGGGGTGTCCTAGACTAGATTCAGTTTTCCCTAACCATCCACCCTTCCTCTCCTGGCTGCAACCCTCCCTTCAACCCATTCCTGTAACTAACGTCGCCTAAATTTTCGGCGTACATACACAGAGATGGGCTACTCACTTGCAGTGCAGAAGGGTGCGGGTACAGTCGGCGGTCCACTGGATCTGAGTGGACGTAATTCCCGGCTGGCTCGGCCACTCTTTCACCCACCTGTCGCGTTTCGCGGTCATTTTTCGGAGGGCGGTTCGACACTGCCTCAGCACATCGCGCAGGCTCGTTCTCATCGCGGTTTCTGCAATTGCGACACACTATTTTTTTGGGGGGGCACGTTCGTGTCTACCATTTTTTTATCGTCAGATAGAAATGGGCAAATTCACTAGGTAAATAAGTATATAAGTATATACGGTGAATCCTCGATGAGTGCTCGAAGGTTCCACGGGCGCTGATAGAAAGAGGTCACCAGGTGTAACGCTGACTTTTTCATGAGGTTCAGCTTGGTATTCTGAAGTCAATGATATTTGTTTCAGCTACATATGGCCGTCAGTTTATGCAATTTTTAATGTTCAGTGCCGAGGAAGCTTCGAACACTCATCGAGGATTTACATAGTTAATAATGTTTAATCCTTAAATAATGTTTAACATAGAAATTTGTTAGTATACACGCCTAATATCCTGAAAATTTAATTTCTATTAATTTAAAAATTAAAACCTATCGTTTCTTAACACACTGCAGAATTGTGCTCAACTCTGTCCCCAGGTCGTCTGTTCATCGTGCCTCCTCTCCCTCAACCCAGTTCATCTGTTCAACGAACCTCCCTCCTCTCAATTCTCACCACTGCAACTCGTACTTTTTCTCCCATCCCCGTTTTCCCGGGCTTTTTTTCCGTTACCACGCGAGCAAATTGTGTTCCCGTCAAAAATTGTTGCCGGATGGTCCCTTTAAAAGGCGGGGGGGGATATGAAAGGTCGGTCGTCGGAATGAAACGCGGGTGGTTGAAACTTTTTTTTTCCCGGACGGACGTCCGTCGACGGTTACGCGCGCGTTCGGCGGGGTTAAATCGGATTTTCGACGGGGACACTGCGTATGGGCGGGGGGATGGGGAGAAATGGAGTGGGTACAGGGGTTCTAAAATCTTTCGTTTTGTATTTTTTGTTCGTCCTGTGAAATTCGAGCGTGTCCGTTAATTCGAACTGTTGTTGGATTTAATTAACCCTTCAGTTTAACGAGCGTCACGTTGGCACGTTAGTACGAATGAAATTGTGACACGTGGTGAAATCGAATTGAAGAGGCGTCTAGAGACTAGACTTCTAACGGATTTAACATTTTCTTTTTTTTGGGTGGAAGGTTCGTACGAGTTTATGAAAAAAACTCACCGACGTCGCAGAGCCATCTTTCGACTTGACCCTCGAGGAGAACTGAGGCGGAGAACTCGACGTATTCGCCCTCGATCGAGAACATACCGTTGGCCAAATATTTTCCTGTCAGAGACTGAACAAAAAGAGAGGAAAACCATGAAAAAAAATCAAATCTTCAATTAGAGATATCCGATCGATCTAGTGTTTACAGTAAATTATCGATTAGTGTTCGAAAGCTCCTCAACACTGACAAGGACAGTTTCCCAGGTGTAACACTGACTGTTTCAGCTGCATATGCTAGTGAGTTTATGAAATATTTAATATTTCGTGCCGAGGAGTCTTCGAACACTTATCGAGGATTTATTGTACCTTGCCGAGATTCAGCGATTTAATGTTCTCGAACAGTTTCTTGATGTGCGGTTGTATCAGTTCCGGTTTTCTAGCGTTCGCCAGTATCTCCAGCAGGTCGTCGTTCGAGATGAAATAGAATCTCGGGAACACGTGTCGTTTGGTCTCGAGATACTGTTCCAGGGCGCGTTGCATCGACTCCAGGTTGTCGTTGATTTTATTCAGAACTTCGAGCAGCCCGGCTGAACATAAGGGGAAGGATGAGAGTCGGTGGGTGGAGGGGGGCAGGAAGGGCGAAGTGGAAAAAATGCAAATGCTTCCGGTAGACCGGATTTACATTATTTTATAGCGCGTCGGTCGCGTCGGCACGCCTGGTTCCTTTTTCTTCCAACCCCCTCATCGAGCCGACGACGACGCGCTGTACATTTTCTTTCCCCCAACTTTTTCTTTTCACTCTGCACCCGGTCCCGGAATTTACGCGGATATTGCAGCACGAATCCCTCCCCTCGAATTAGAATGTATCACGATTTTTTCACAATTTTGCAATTGGTACAAATGGATTCGGGATTATGTTGCGTATCTATTTGTTATACGAGGATACACAAGTGGATACGCACCTTTAAACAGCGTCGTGATAATCCTAATTAATTTAATACTTTATGGAGCGTACGTGGTTCATGGGTGGCAGGAAGAGCCAGAGCCTTTTGCGCCATACGCGATGTGATTGTCTTCCATTGCTTGGTCAGCTTGTCGTACACGTCGCTCTCCTTGGGCAATTGTTTCTTGATGTCCTCCGTGGTGAATATATTGTCCATGTACATATATCCACGTTGGATGATTAGCGTCATTTCGAGGACCTCCCCAACGGCGGACAAGGTGCGTTCCCAGTAGTCGACCTCGGTAGCGAATGGCTCGACGAACCTGTGTGCGATCGTAACTATAGAACAGTGCTGTTCAGTTTAAATTAGTGCTTTAGTCCCCACTAGTGGGAGACATCATTTTAAGGTCATCTTAATTTTTTCAAGTAGACTTGCATACTTTTTTACGTATAGTAAGATAGTATTTATCGAGGGGAATTCAACGAGGTGCAACACGATATATTTCCTTGTCGCACCTTGTCGCCTTCATGGCTGACAGCTGAACCTGTTGTTCGTCCAGAGTTTGCAGCACATCGTCTATGGACAACAGCTTGTATATCCCTCTGTCCTTGTACGGTACCATTTGTATGGGCATGCTCTGCCAGACATGGCTGATATTCCGTAGACCCTGAATCATTAACAGAAAGCTTGAGATGAACCGCTGATGCTCCATGATTGTATAATGGAACGTGTTCATTTACAGTTTCGATGGCCAGCTCCATCGTGGCCGCGTTCGAGATATCCGCGATCTGTTCAGCGAAATTCTGCAGCTGCATCTCGGCGATCGCCTCCAGTGTAAACGTCTCCGAGGTCTCGTCGAAGTCACGGTCGATGACTTCTTTGACCTTCTTCCAGTGCCGTGATCTCATCGCTGGGTTCTTCAGGTCGGTGATCAACGGAAGGGTGCGCCGGAATTTATCCACCAGCATCCTGAAACAAGCTCTCCACTTTACTTCATCGAGGATTATTCATATATTTCTCAAAGAATAATCGTGGAGGTCGTTTGAACGGAAGAAGATGAATTTTGTGACTTAGAGGTCTGGCGACTTCGTCTAGCTGCCACTCAATTGTTATAGTTCGAATGATAGTACCGTTCGATTATTGTCCATGTCCGTATCAAACTTGTACTCTAAGAAGGAATTTCATAAAAATAGGGAAGTAAGAATCGACGATCACCTCGAATGCTCGATGATCTCCCAATTCTTCTCTTTCAATTCTCTGTTGAGACGATTCAGCTTCCTGAAGAGAACGTTCGCGGTGTTGTCCATCTCCTCCATCTCGATCCGCCAGAAGTTGTCGGTCCTATACCTGTCCCACGCCTCGTACCACTCGTTCGTCAATTGCCACACCAGCTCCAGAGCAGCTAGGTCCTGAAAACGAAGTCTCACCTGTCTGCTGGAAAATAGCGACGATTGTTTACCTTCTCTAGCTGTATCAGCTCCAGATTGTCCGACTGGCTGATCCCGAAAATGGTCAGCTGCGACTTCAATTGACTCTCTCTTCTCTTCAAGGAATCGATCTCCCGGTGGACATAGTCGATCCAATCGAATGCATCTGTATGAAACTCGGGTCAGTGGAAGAATTAGAGTGGTTATGTACTTATTTATGATTTTTTTTTATTGTGTCTACCTTTCGTTATCCAGTCGGACGTGAAGGGACCCGTCACAGCGAACTTGGCCACTAGCACGGTCACTTCGTCCTTCATCATCATGGCGTCTTGTAACAACATATTCTTAAATTCCTCCTACGGTAAGAATATTTTCTGTAGACCTTTCGGAAACCTCCAAGAATTTTCTTTTGACAATATATTTCCTTTAACTTTTAAACTGAATTGATATTAAATTTAACCATTCCTATTATCGGTCCCTATCCAATTTTCAAGTGATTCTTCAGTGTCCCTGACGTGAGTTATTTACGGAACACGAGCTTTTACAATGTGTTACCTTTTTCTCGCTGAGCATCAACTCACTCTGAGTGAGCACGTCCAGGTACGCCGCCCACGCGGGCGGTATGTGGCCTACTTTCCGTTTGAAGTCGAACGTCAAAGGCCTCTCGTACTTCTCTGCGACGGAGGAACAACAATTAAACGTTCTCCATCGACCAAGGAAAAACAGACTCGCCATCCTCCACCCTCTTTTCGGTGCGCCACCCCGATTTCACGGGCTATCGATCCCCCCTTCACGGCCTCTCCAACCTCTTCTCCACCAAACGAAAGCGTGGAAGCGTTTAAAGGGTTTACCCAGAGTCTGGTATTGCTCCTGGATCTTCGGGAATTCCTTCTCCTCCCTCGGAATCTCGCTGGTGAGCCTTTCGTACAACTGCAGCGAGTACTGCATACTGATCAGGTCCGTCGGTTCCTTCGTTATTCTACGAACGGACGGATTCTTGCGTGAGATCCAGAAAGATTCGCGGATGGGGAAAGAATTTACGACGGGGACGGACCGTCGCTGGACCGGCTCGATCCGTTGGACGATCCACCAGCCACGGTATCGATAGAATATATCTGACGAATATATTGGACCAGAATGATTCTGTTCGCTAGGAAATATGTATATATATACAGGGAGTCCCATTTAAATTGACCCACTCGAATATCTTCGAAACTGAAGACGGTAAATGATATGGCACACTTTTTAATGTAACTTCTTTCTATGTGGACGCCTAGATGTCATATGAAGGTAAACTTTGTTTTCTAAATGGCATCGTATATTTTTTAATGCACTAATTCGCCATAAGTGACTTAGTAGTTTATGTAGGGAATAGCGAGTAGTATTAAGTATTGTATTAAAAAATGTACGATTCCATTTAGAAAAACAAAGCTGACCTTCAAGAAGTGTGTCCTCTGGTACCATTTAAATTCTGTCTGTAACATTTTTTAATATCGTCAAAAATTTCGGAGATAATCGAGCAGGTCCATTTAAACGGAACACCCTGTATATATTCACCAGAGCTTCTTGATACGAGAGATAGAGATACGGAAGCATGGATCGGTAATTAATTCGCGGATGAAACGCAATTCAATTTGCGCCTCGTCTCGCCTTCGAGCAGAGGTTAAGGACCGTTTCGACGAGTGGTTCGCTGATAAATGGCCGCGGAGGGACCAATTGCTCCTCGAATCGTCGTGATTGCCGGTCGAGGTGCGTTTAAAACACAACGGAAACCATGATCGTGTATACTCGAACACGGTTGAAGACCTCCAGCTGGGACGAAGTGCTCAAGAAAACGTGTTAAAATGGCTTCTGACGAAAACCAACCGCAGCTATATATTGTACGCACGAAATTATAATAACAGAAGATATTAATTAACTCGATCGACGAGGGAAAGGTGAAGAAGAAACTGTTTCACAAAATTTGGGAACATCTCTGAATCTACAGAAAATCTATCTACACCTGCCATTAAATTTCTTTTCAATATATACAGTTGTGGATAAAAAAGTAACCACTTTCTCGATTTGTTTCATTTTTATTATTCTTTAACTTCAACTTTAGTACGTGTTTAATATATATTCCGACAGCAAATTAAATGCTGTATATAACACGGTATATTAAGATTTTAGAAAAATGATAATTTTTTTAACCGTCACTGTATATTATCAAAAATCTCGTAGGATTTTCCTACTTTCCTACTCACTTCCTCGAGTTCTCCGAGATATAGTGATAAACATGGTTCACCATGGTCTCGGTCTGCTTCTCGAGAAGCTCGAGAAACTTCTGCTGCCAAATTGAGCATTCTTCGATGATCGCCCCCTTCAATCGATCTGAATTCACGTCTAGGAAGTGAACAGTCATCACCGTTTCCTGCATATGAACGTTGTTCGCGACGATATTGTACCTGGTGATGTCCGCGTCGTATGACTCGGCGGTGGGCCTCAGTTTCTCGTACCTGCAACGAGAATAAATCCCTCCAATTTTTTTATTAACAGATCGTTACACGAATTTCGAACGTTGCTGTCACACCTCTGGAGATACAGGTATCTGTTGATCTCCCAGACTTCTTGGAAGGGCTCCCAGGTTTTCAGGTAGGCTTGCATTTGCGCGAAACAGAAGTTCACCTCTGAAATATGAAGATATTTCGTAGCAGAATTTTTTAGAAAGATTCAAGAAATCTTAAGATTCCTAGTCCTAGGGACGAATATTGATTTTTTCTTAAGAATGTTCATTGAATATCGATTTTTTCGAGTTCAAAATAATAAGCTGCAACATATAAATATATCATTCTCATAATTTTGAAATAACGATTAAAGGGTCTGGGCGTTAAAGGGTTAAGGGCCGACCGTTTTACTATCACTTTTTGAAGATCGACTTACACCACTTCTAGGACATTCTATAGACCTAGTGTCTTCGTAAAAATTGAAGTTATATCATATTATTCATTATTAAGAGTTTTGGAGGGAGTGCAAGGGACACATGCGATATCAATGTGTAGGAATATTGTTATTCCATCTATATTTCCCACCAAAATGTTTTAACTCCCCTCTGGGATACATATGTCCCATTAGTGATAAAAGAATTAATACATAAAAGAATAATACCGTCGTTAAGTTTCTGTTGAAGATTCAACAGCTCCGTGTCCTTTTCGTACAACGACCAGAATGGCGGATTGGTGTGCTCGAACCGAAACTTGCTGACCATACGATGGACCTTTTTCAGCGGGTCCAGCAGGTTGTCGAAGATCCCCGAGATCACTGACGCGATATCCATAAGATTGGGCGTGAAGTTTATCTAAAAATGAGTTTCTTATTCCTCTGGCCCATAAAACTATCAACCAAGACACACCTTGTTATCGACAAGATCAACGTGAACCAGAATGAACGGTGACGGGGGCGAGGACTCGTCACCGTGAAGTGCCAAGTACATCATCTCCAAAGATCCTCTTAGACACTGTCTGAACGCCTCCATGATTACTGTATCGATCCTGTGCAGGAACGATCTCCATTCGTTCAAGCTCTATCATTAATTACCAATAAATCAATCGTGTAAACATTTCATCGAGATCAAATGAAAATCTCAAGGGCGAATACAGTGACTCACACTTTCGTTCACACATTTTCAGGTCAATAATTATGTGTAAAAATTCATATGCATTTTTTATCCATACATTTACATTGTCATTACTCCAGTCATCCTTTTATAATGAATTTTTCTTAATTATCAATACGCATTTCGGTAGGTAAATTGACCGAATAAATGCTATATAGTCTTCCATAAACAAATTTTCGAGTCACTGTATATCGTTTCTTTTTGATTTCAAAGGATCTATAATTCGAGCCTTGAACCACGATTCTTTGAAAACTTCTCGATCAAGGAGCTAGAAAAGGACGTGCTCCTTCCGGTAGTCGCGTCACGAAGCGACATATCGTAGCCGGGGATCGGTCTGGACTACCCGCCGTTTCCGTCGTTCAGTCGCACGAAAATTGCTCGGCATCGCCCGCGGGAATAACGGCGGCGACATTCCGCGGGAATTCTGCCCCGTGGAATGCCTTGCATTTTCCGTCGTTTGTCGGCCGATGTGTAGCAGAAAGAACCGAGACAACGAGCGAAAGAAACAAGGGGGTAATGGCGAGAAGGGGTTGAAAGTGTCGTTGAGCAGGCTCATAAGATCGAACGGCACACGACCGATGGCTTGAAAATCGAAGGATTAACCCTCTAAAGGTATAGATATTTTCATCTCAATTATTATTCCTTGTTATATAAATAAACAAATATGTAAATTCAAGATAAGACCCCATTTCGCCAACTACGACCTTAAAATTCACCTTACCATTCGAGGGTTGGTCTTAATAAAAACAACTACACTTACATCCTCGATGACTTGTTTGAATCCTTCGTAAATTACCAGGATGTACTGCGTCATCTTTATGTGTTTCGTCAGCATATCGTTGATGGTCTCGTCCCTGGAGCGTTTAGAAGTTCGTTTCACCGATTATACCACACAGATTTATTCAAAGGCTACACCTGCCCAGTGGGAGGGGGGTGGGTACCTGGTCGTCAGCAAGTCCTGCTCCAGTTCTTGTAGCCTGTACGTGTAGTTCGGCTTGATCTTGATCATCGGCGTGTCGCAGATGTTTTCGCAGATTTGCACCACCTCGAAGTTCGCCTCTTTGTAAACGTCGATGAACTCTTGCAGCTGTGAGCGTGGACAGAGAACGGAAGTTCCGTTTGAGATATTATTCACAGGGTGGGGGACGGTGGGAGTTGCGGGTGGACCATTGTGTCGGGTTCAGAAATCTAAATCATTCTGTGATATTGCATGTTACACGCGTGAAGTTAATTTATTTGTATTTAAACTCTGTTGTTTCTCTTGTTGAATGTAAGTCTCGAAGGGATCCTACATCCAAACTTTTTGTTTGTCATCTAGATTGCCAATGTACTAGTATATTGTATCAAAGGGCTCAAAACCCTTTTACAAATAAATAGTATTATTATTTTTATCTTTTCACATTTTTTCTATCACGTCTATATTCTTCAAAATAAAACCTATTTTTCTCACTCTGTATACATTAACAAATTATTCTTGACATCAGTTGGAGAAAATTTTTACTCAACGTTGGTCACCCCAATGAACGATCTCGAGCTGAAAAGTTTACACACGATCTAACATCTCGACCTATCACAATGCTCTGCCCTTAAAGCCATAGAGGAACGCGCGTGTCCAGCGAGTATAGGGACCGTCCGAAATTCCGTCGATTTGAACAGGGTAACGAATCGCCGCAAACGCTGGCTCACGGATGTATCCGCTATTGTTATTCCGTTTCGACGGCACGCGTGCGCACTTCTTGCTTAATTAAACAAACAAAGGCTGGGGACAACGGTGGATTTCCCCTGCCCCCTTCCATCTGGGTCAAAATTTAATTTCGTCGGGGACAGAACCGGACCGGTTGCATAAATTTCTGTCCCGTTGCATATAGGCGCTCCGAAAGTCAACGCGCGAAACGAAGAGGGGTAGGGAAGCGTACATTTGCCATTTCGTTAAAGCAATCCTCGATGTATGCCTCCACGTATTCCGTGTTCCATGTCAGCCTGCCTAAGCCCGGATTGATCTTCCTGTCTAGCTGGCGAATCAGCTCGCGGAACAGACTGCGCTCGGTCGGCGACAGCGCTGGAAAATAAAATTAACCTCCTTCCCTCGTCTCTGTGTTTCGTTTGGGTGTCACCGGGCCGAGAGGCTAATCAAGTTTGCGATGGTTTGATAGGAGCCTTGATTATGGGGACACACCGCGACGGATTCTCGACATTGGATCTGATGTTTGTCGAAATAGATTCAATCCGATAATCCCGAATTTAGGGAGACAGGAAACACGAATCTTTCTCGAACGGGGCAAGAGAGGGACTTTTGAGATTTCAGGGTACCGATTTTTTGTTCCAGATCGTTTCTAATGTTCCGACAACCCTGAATTTAAAAAGAGATGGATCGGTCGATAGGGGTAAATAAACGAATTTTGGAAATTTCAGGGTGCAGTTTCTTTCTTTGAGATTGTTTCTAATATTTTGACAATTTTAAATTTAGGAAAACACGAATTTTTCGATGGGGTTAATAGAGGAATTTTTAAGATTTCAGGAAATAGCTTCTTTCTTTGGGATCTGTTCTAATATTTCGACAATTCTAAATTCAAGAACGAATCTTTCGACGGGGGTAAAGAATTTTTGAGATTTCGCTAAATTTAGAAAAAAAAATGAATGTTTCGTTGAGGGTGAATAAACATGTTCACCACAAAATCAATCAAACTAACCATCTATCACTTTGTTGTAGGAGATAACGACAGCCAAGACGCTCTCGTAGACGAAACGCAGGGTGTCCCATTTATCATGGATGACTCGTATGTGAACCGGTATGGGGAACCTTTGATGTACCCAGCAGGCTGATTCGCGACCGAGCGTCAGAATGTCAGGATCGATTGTGCACTCGAGATTCCCTGTTTTTCCGTCAGCTCGACGCATCAGAAAACGATCGAGCTTCGCACGTGGATTCTCGCCGACCGATAGGATCCAGCTATGGTATAGATAGGTGATCAGATCGTCGATCGACTTCATCACGATGTCGTGTTGATAGTAGATGTCCAGGCTCATGCTGCAATTGGGCATCCACGCGGCCTCCTCCAGCATCCGCCTCGTTGACTCCAGACGTGCCCCTTTCGCTCGTAGATTCAACGCTCTGCCTGCGTAATACGGTGTCATCGCAGGATACTCTTCCCTTTCGTCAAGGACCTCTTGCTTCGTCTGTTGGATCTCGTCGCTGTACAGCCTCCATATCTACAGAAACAGAAACTGAGTTTTTTTTTCGCCTTGAATCATTGGATTTGCGAAATTCAGCCGATTGTTACTCATGATTTATTATATTTTTTTACCTGTTGCATATGGATGATCTAGGTACAGTGACTCATGTGTTCGTAAGACAGTAAATTCTCGAGAAATGCTCGGAAAGGTTTCTACGTTAAATGCTTTATCCCCACTGCTAAGTTTAAAAAATCTTCGTCGGCTGTCGGAAAAATATAAAGGTGAACTACTGAAATTTATGAGGTGCGGAAATAGTGTTCGTTTCAAAGCAGTCCCGAGTTTTGAGCATTAATCGAAGATTTACTGTCCTAATTTTTCTCCCTGAAATTCAGAATAGTGAACAGTTTTGCAATGTTTAATCAGATTTTCTTTATACTTCAAATTTACTAGAATTCCCTAATAAAATAAATAAAGTTTCCTTTTACGTCCAGTTTCGAGAGATTATTCCATAAAATTCTATACCTGCATAAAACATCTGCAGCCTAGTAATAGGATACTTTTTGAGCAAGGTAATCTTTGAAGAAGCTTACTACATGTCCTGAAAGTTTCATTAAAATCGTTGAACCAAAGGACCTTTGCTTATGAATTCAGAACGACGAAAGATTGTAGGGATTTTGTTAATCTTGCATTACGATAAAAAAAAATAGTCCACCATCTGTTAGGATTGTTTCTCTTGGAAACTGAATGTTATATACGTGTGTAACGTTGGATGCAGAAAATCTCTGATAATTCTCTAGATCCCTTCTTTCCTTTGTTTCGTGTGTTTTAAAGCAGCGAATTAAACTCAATGGGAACCGGGAAACTTGTTAATTAGCGAGATATACAAAGGAACTGGAGAAAGATACAGAGAGAGTGAGATATAGTTCTCTTACGTCGTTAGTCTTCTCGTCGAACAGCGATTTCAACGTCTCGCGGTTCATATAATTGTAGAATCCTTGGAGATCCTCGATCCCCTCCTGTACGTTGTTCATCCCGACGAAAGCTGACGTGACCAGGTTCTCGATTATGACTTCCAGATCCTTCAGCTCCGAGCGGAACGCGAACATGTCTTCGTGCCACGTTCCCTCGAGAACGTCGAAGATCTTCGCAGAGTTCTGTCTGATTTTCAGCAACGCCTCGTGGAACAGCCTATCGATCTTCTGGCAGCCCCATTCCCGTTCTTTTCCTTTGGTCCCGCTGAACATTGGCCTTGTTTCCTCCACGGTTTCGTCCATTCTGCGTGCATCGATCACAATCACTCATGTTCTTCATATTAAAAATCGTGTTTTTTTATCATCAACGATCACTTCAAGATTCATTGCTAGATGAAGATTGAGGTGATCACGACGACAAAACTACCCTTGTGACAAACATATCAGTCACAAAATGAAACGGAGGACACTCCAATCTCATTAAAATTTAATATTGTAAGTTGGGATAACTTTGACTCAATCAGGGCAACTTTGTCTTTAGTCAAAAAATGATCATTTTTGATTTTGCAGCTCTGGAAATTGTTAAATTAAGTTGATTTTTACGTGAAAAGGTATTTCATGTTAAAATATCTGTAAAAGATCTGAAAAATCGAGAATCATCGTTTTCTCAGTTTACGACAAAGTTACCCCTCGGTGACAATGAGCCAAATTTACCCTTTTCTAACTTTGAGACGAAATTACCTCTGTTTGACAATGAGTCAAAGTTACTCCAACTTACAGTATGTTATTTCATGCATAAGAATGAAAAGTTACAACAATTAATTAAAAAGGGTGATTTCTCGACGATTCCCCTCGAAATTAAAATGAATCTACAAGCAATCATCACAGTTGTCGTTTCTTTGTTCGGCTCGTCTTGAATTCCATGCGAGAAGTATATAGACAGGGTGGTGGTGGTTTACCTGGCGAAATCGATCATCGCCTGGCAGACCTCAATCATGTCCTGGCACCTGCCGATGAAAATATCAATACGACTGAATATATTGTCCACGTTTAAATCCCACGGTACATGCGTCAGTGTGGTGTGCGCGTGCGCTATCTGAAAACGAAATGGGAGTGTCGATAGGGGGTTGTGGGTGGGTGTGGAGGGTGAGGAGGGGGGATATGAAAGAGTCGTCGGTGAAATTTATGTTAGACGAGGACAAGCCGGTGGTTTAATATCCGGCGCCGTGTGACGAGATCGATCGATCCTCGTGGATCCGCGGGACTTAAAGCGGATAAATAAGGACAATTCCAGCCATCTCCGTGTGTTTCTGTCTTTTCGAATACTGTATTATCGGCCGATCGACCGAGCTGACGCGGTTCGTAGCCATCCCCACGCGATGGGGTGGCCATTCATTTTGCTTCGTTACGGATAAATGAACCACCGGTGGAAACTGATAGACGTGTCGCTATACTTTGAAGTTATTGTATCGAAAATGGACACGTTTTAAATACAGTATCATTATTCGAAACTGTATATAGGACATAATATTAGGACACTTATCGAGTATATATATTGCGAAAAATGAAATTGTATAGATCATGGTATAATTTAAAACAAGACCTCTATTAAATAAACGCATTTATTTTCGACGATTTATGACTTAAAAGGTGAAATAAATTGCGTCTGACTACATACGGAATTATTCACTGTGATATTCAACGTGTTAATTGTTCAATCAACAAGTGCTTGAGCTTGGAAATTTATTTAGAAAAATTCTTATTCCCTTTTTCATTGACTCGTTCAATCTCTTCCCCGATATAAAGATGTTATCAAACCCATTTATTTTAATTGAACTCTATCTACCGTTTTTTTTCGATTCCTTTCAGCTTCACCTGTTAGTATAGAGAGCTGGACGAGCTTTGTCCCATTTAAGTTGAAGAACCACCCACGCGGGCCTGTCACAGATATTTTTTTTTTTCGAGAGTCAATCTGCCAATCAATTTTCGGACAGCGCAGTCTCATCCGTTCGGAAAACACTGAAACGTTCTACAGAGAATCGAAGCTTCGAAAAAAAAAAAAATGTCATTCGGTATCTTGACAAATATCGGAACCGTATTCGTATTTTCGTCTCTCTTCTCGGTTGTTTTTTACTGGTCGATAGTCGATTACAGGAATATATGTAACGCCACTGGGTCACGATTCATTTGCGAAATATAGACGAATTCGTTTTTCGGCATCGAAGTGTTTTGTCAATAATTGAAATATCGCGAGGTCGATTGCACTGCGTTCCAACACGATCGAAAGACTTTTACTTCATTTTTTTCATTACAAAAAAAATGGAATCACAAAAATTTCCGTTTCCACATTCGAGAAGGATTGCATTATTAACCGTTCGTGGCTGCCTGTAGCCGTTTTGCATAAAACAATCGCGCCGTTCATCCCAAAAATCGCGAACATCCCCTGTATTTTTTAACAGTCAATCACGCCGATATTTCGACCGCGATAAATTCTGATGCATTTTTCAAAACGGGACGATCGACATTCCGGTCTGTCCGCGAACCATCAAACATTTGAAAATTACAAGATTAAAAAATTCATGCAACCGCCTCTGCGGTTGTAAATTTTTCCGTGGAACGCTGAAGATCGCTGAACACATGAGGCACACTGGAGTAAATTGTTTTCCGACCTCATTCTGGTTTTTTAAATTCTGCAACCGAAAAAAACAACGCCAACCGACAGTTCTATTTTAATTCGGGAAGAAATTATACGAAAAATGTGAACATTCCATCCGTAATTGCTTTCAACGTAGTAACACCATCAGTGGTGACAACAAATTTGCGCTCGTTATTGTTGTTTGGAAATTGGCTATCTAAATTTTAGAAATTCAACATAGAAATAATCGAATATGAAATTTTGTTCATACACTGAATGGCATAACTATAAAAAAAAAGCACCCTACAATTTTCAATCCTTATTTATCGCGATTAAAAAGGAAACGAACCACTTCTTTTCTAGAAAATACAATCTACCCTTTTCCAAAGGAACGTTATTTCTCAACAGGATGTCAGACACAGCGTACTTGGGTTGTTTTGACTTTAACCATAAATACACAAGAATTGCAAATTTTAGAGTGGTTTCATAATTATGCCGCGCAGCGTATTGATAACTGAATTTCGCGGTAAACATTCGTGCAGTCTACAAACTATATTTCCCAATCTTTCGTTTACTCATCGCCGTGGATGGTAAACCAGAGAATTAATTAATCTCCTTTCCAACCGACGGAAAGGTCCCGGCAATTAATTACCGCAGTTTGCCAGTCCAGAAGGCCAAGAGTAAATGGAAGCCATTCAGAGTGGCCAATTCGCCGGACATGGGGGTTAATAAATACTCGTTACAGGCCAAACTAGCAAAACCCTTCGAACGATCCACCCCCTCGCCCCCATCCTCGTGGGACTTCGTTTGACCCTCGATCAGTGGCCGGTAATACGATTGTTCGGGATTTTCCCCCTACAGAAAAATCGTAAAAGAGCCCTCTAATTCACCCTTTCCCTTCACCCAATTCTACCAGCGACGACTAAACCGCCCTCGATTCTCACCCACCCTTCCCTTAACCACGCTTATCTGCCTGCAACGGGAAACGGCAAAGTCTATGGGACGGAGGGACGATTGTGACTTCCGGTTAACGCGAAAACTTGACCTCGTTCCATAACCGACATCCCCATTCCACCCCCACCCTTCTGGAGAACCAAACGCACCAGCCTCTTTCGCCGAGATAAAACGTTAATCCACGGTTGACAAATTATTTTCGAAGCCATTATCCTTTTCTGCTAGAGGGTGAGAAGGGAGGTGGTTGTCTAGCGAGAAAACCTGATGGTTTTTAATCCCTTGACGGGCAATTTATTACGATGATTTGAATACTCGTGGGGAAAGAGAAGGTGAGCACTTCGTTGGAATATCCAGTGGAAATTAAAACGGGTAATTTTGCTAATTTTCACCTGGATTGTCTGAAGTTTCCTGGACGTCGTGGTAGGTGCGCGTGATTCGTGTCTGTGGAACATTGCTGGGGATGGGAGAGGGTGAGGGTTTTTGAGAATTGGTTTAATCTGAGGGTAATTATCGAGGGTCAACGTGGGGAGCAGTGATATACACTATAAAATTTTGTGCTTGAAAATGTCTGTTAAATGGACAAAATAGTACAAGGTTTGATGATTCTAAATGGTCTGTACAGGATGATTAAACAATTGTCAAGACATTTAGGGGCTTAGAGTACTCACTGAGGGGAGTAGAAAATGTCTAGTCAGCATAGGTCCTGAAATCAATCCTTTAAAAAAAAATCACAAAAGTTTGTTTGTATATTTTCTTGCACACATTACTTTGATCACCTATCTGAGAACATTTTTTATTCCTCTCAGTGAGTACTTGTAAACCTCTAAAGTCTTAGTCTCCCTTTTTTTTAATCACCCTGTGAAAAGTGCAATTTAAGCGTGAATGATTATCGCACTTAAGGAAAGTGTTTTTTTTCCTATTAATACGTTAATCGGGGAAAAAGCGTTTTTCGACACGCACTTGAGAGTACAAGGGCTATCAATCTCTTCAGATTGTTTTGCAACAATACGGGATTACGGGGGTGGGGTTAAGATTAATTGCTGTTCGCGTTAAACGACCTTCCAAGGGGGATAGAAGGGAGGGCGGCGGTTGGGGGATGTGAATATTATTTTAACGACGCAGCGACGTGTTTCCGCACGGCACAGGGGATCATTGTGAGTTGGCCAAAGAGAGGGGTACAATTACCGTGACTTCCGCTTAACGCGGGAACTCCTCACTTTGCCTAACGGCTCTTCCCCAAGTATCTAAAGTAACCCCGCTCACGTCGTTTAATAGTCCTTTAATGCACCGACCGGCGTAGTGAATTTGTACGTAATATCGACGAGAGATAGTTTTACAAGTTGCGCTTGTAATTGAACCCTAAGACGAAAAATAAAAAGGAAATAACGAAACGATGAAGAATTTTATCAGATTGAACTGTTGTACGAGAAAATTGCTGCGTTAAAAATAGGGAAAATGAATGTAAACTGGTTTAACTATTCTTTGAACATTTTACCCTTGTGCACTGTTCAATAAACATTGATATTCCTTGAATTAAATTGGGCCTGTATTAATCCTCGAATGGTAAGGTGGGTTTTAAGGTCGTACTTGGTAAAATGGGGTGGGATCCGATCCGAGTTATTTTTTGCTATTTTATTAGGTACTGAATTTGTATTTTTGGTTATCTATATCATGAGGAATAATAATTTAGTTATATAATAATATAAGTACTACATGTTTACTAAATAATCAAAAATATTTAAAAATGTGTATAATAAAAAAATAGAAACTAGAGTGGGGATAGCAGAAGAGGACCTTACTATTAGAGGGTTAAAATCGATTTAATCAAATATATTTACCTATCGTTAGATCGTATCGAATCTTAAAGATTTGCTTCGGGTTAAATTGACCCGAACAGTGCACGAGAGTTAATTAAACATTAATTCATGACAATATATTAATAACATGAAATTTTCATGTAAAATGGTATTGCAAAAGAATGATTGTTACCTTTTCGTAGACAGATCTGTAATTTTCACAGGCTTCCAGGCATTCATTCAACTTCTGTATGGACTTCCTGGTTTTACCTTCGAAAATCTCTGTCAGATCGATGAAGCCACGGCAAAGTATGATGATCTGGTTGCTGAGGGCCCCAAACAGATTTTCGATTCTCTCCTGGCTATTGTAGTACGGTGAATTCAGCCAGATTACACGAAACAGGTGTATGATCTTCATCAGATGTTTCCCAATCTCCGACGGCTCGGTGCATTTATTCAGCTCGGCCGAAGGTGCCTGTAGACTGCGCAGGTACTCGATGTTCGACTTTGCTTCCTTGACACCGTCCTCGATCTCGTCCTTCAACGCGAGAAACTGACGAACGTACGTCGAGTGACTGACCGAGAGATACTCCGTGATCTTCTTCACGGTGGATGTTTGGAGTTGATGGTTTAAACCACAGAGATTGTCGTCTGTCGTCGGAAAAATTTTTGTGCTCAACAATTGGAAAGATTCTCTTGTGCCTAATATGTAATTAAAGGGTTAGGCCATCTTGACGGCCCAAAATTCGTATGTAAGTGTGAATGAAAAAGAAATGTTTCAAGGGCTTTACTCTACACGCCCTATGGTGAAAAGTTTTTTTCCTGCAGACAATTTTAGAGAATAATTTGTCCACCATTTTAGTCCTCTATTTGTTTAAAAAAATAGTTACAAAATTGTCTTATAAAGTCCTTGAAAAAATTTTTTCATTTACATATGATCTTCAGGCATCCAAGGTGGCCTAACCCTTTAAATCACGATCGTTGCGAAGAATTTAATTGATCATGGTTTCGCAGATACGAACATCGATAGGTCCAGAACTCGTACTCGTCCTGGAGGCACAGTAACTCGTTGGGCGTCGCTTGTTCCTGGTCCATGAGGGCGATTCTGATCTGTGTAGTCCAATGTACCACCACGCCCTCGAGCCTCTTGACCAGCTCCTTATCGATACTGGACTCGTCGGCGGACTCTTGTTCCGCGAGCTGGCTGCCCTCACGGGGCACGTATATCACCGTTAAGCCCAGCATTTTGTACGTGAGGTCGGTTAATTTGCAGAGGAAGGTGTCCAGGCTGGTGTAGAAGTCAGCCTTCACGCATGTGGGTCACTTACGTTAAGGAATTACAAATAGACTCTCTAAAATTCCTATCATCGACAGCATCAGCGGATTATATCATCTTTTTACCAAAGAATTCTGTCACACAACACGAACAAGAACTATGAGAAGTATACGAAAATAATCGAGTAGTCCAACGACAAGTTACTACAGTAAAGCATCGATGAGTGTTCGAAAGCACTGAGAATGAGAGGACCCCAGGTGTAACACTGACTTTTTAACAAGGTTTACCACAGTGATAAATATTTCTTATTGAAGTCTTCGGACAATCATCGATGATTTACTGTACAAGACGACAATACTAAACTTCCACGAACATCCAATTTCCATTCAAAAGTGCTCGTCAAGTAATCGACAATTTGTAATTCGAGGAACACTATGACCAACCGATCAGAGGAACCACGGATCCATTAGGAATAATGAAGCGGCTTCCGGCCACTCACGCAACGGAATTGTTTCTTACTCGAGCGGATGCCGTTTTACCTCCCCCAGCCTAGTACATGGGCAAACATCGACGACGAATTCACCGACGGAGCATTTGGCCGAAAATTATGGTAATAATAACTTCGTCCTGGCCCTTCCTGTTTCGTCCCATCCCCCCCTCAATCCTCTCTCCACAACACAGTCATGCCGGTGTGGACCAGGGCCGGAAGTTCGCGGACGGAGCGTTGCGGTAACGGGATTGCGTCGACGAAGTTACAAATTCACTTGGTAAAGTCATCGTTTCAGACTGCTGTAACCTTAAGCTGAAGAGACTGCCGCGTTATCCAGGTGATCGTTCCTGACGTTAATCGACGCTTCCCCTCTCCCCTTGCGAAGCTTTCAACCCGTTGTTCGGATCCGTTGTACAGGATCTCGAACGGGCCCTGGGGTTGTGGTACCCTTGTACAGTGAGATTTAGTGCTTATGAGCAGACCTTGATTCGGAATTCCCTCGAGCACCATGGATTCTTCTAAGAAGAACACAGACTTCGCCGTTACGCACTTAATGCTACTAAATGTAGTCTGTACAGCCCAGACGCGCATCTACGTTAATAACAGGGGCCATTTTGTTGTCTTGTTTGAACCAATTCGATGATTTGAAGGTCATGAAAAATTGTTGAAAAATGGGGATGTATGGTTGCTGGCTATGTGAAGTCACTTGGTATTAACTGAAGGAGACCAACTAAAGATCTCCTTTCTTTTTCATGATACGGGGAAATAAACGGATCGAATTCTAGGACAGTGCTCTTAGAGGTGTGTCATCAATAATATTGTTCTACTTCCAGAACCTCAACCTCTTTCCGAACCTTCTATGCTTTCAGAAACTTTTTGCACTTACAAGAAAATCATTTTTGCTACTAAAGCTTCTAGTCTTTCCGTAGAATCTATATATGCAGAGAAAGAACGACTTTTCGAAGGGTTTCGATCACGGTCTGCTTTTCCGCTGACTTATACTACTTGGTCTTCTAATACGAAGACGTACCCAAATGGTACATGGAAAACTCCTACTCTAGACATCTTTTGTCTACCTTCCAGAAACTGTTTGTACTTCTAATTAGTCAATAATTGGTAATGAAGCTTCTAGTCTTTGTATAGAGTCTAGAAATACAGAGAAAGAACGAGTTTTCGATGGATTTCGATGGTGGTCCTTTTACGTTGACTTATACTACTTGCTCCCCCCTAGTACGAAAACAAGATATACATGAAAAGTACCAATCTAGAACATGTTTTATCAATGAAAGAAGACATCCTGTCCAATCTCTCACCTCTAGAATCGTCTACCTAGTCTAGACTACGTCAGCCTTCCTATTGACTCGTACCACTCGCTCAAGAAAATTCATCTCAGGTTCTCTAACGGGGATACCCTAATCAAAGTTCTCCGAGCGCATTGTCTACCCAAGGGGCAAGAAAACGCCCGAAGTGAGGACAGTGAAGTTTCGTGGCTCGTTGAAGTATCGTTACCCAGGACGAAGCGTTCGCGTGAAACTTTCGCAGCCGACTAATTAAATACCAGTTAAGCCGCGAGTTAGGATACTGTCTGGCCAGGTCTCGATCGGTACGAAGATCGGCGCTAGCGTGTTCTGGACCACCATAAGAACGTGGGACTCGGGCTTTTCGTTCACCGAGCCGAACAGTATTCGGTCGCGAAACGTGTCCGGGTGCAGAACGTTCTGCGACTCCCGGATGAAGTAGTTCAGCTCGCGGACTGGCACTATCGGGAAGCCCAACCCGACGTTCAGTCTGTTGTGCAGCAAATACACCGTGAGCACGGAGATCCGCGGAGTATTTATGAACTCGCGAATCGTCACCTCGTGACGATGCATGAAATCGTTCTCGGTGATGCCGCTGAGGGTTGTCATTTCCTTCACGCAGGTCACCTTGAAACAGAACGAAAGACTCTTTAGATGGTAGCACAACGTACACTGGCGTTCGTAAGTATTGGGACATCTGGTCTGAATGAAGAAAACAGGATGTTTCGGGAAAATTGTACAGGGTGAGTCAGTAAGAACTACTACGATTTTTTTTTTTAAATATGACGGTGACCTTGAGTTATTTCAAGGTCATTGCATCTTTTTTAGTACCACGTTGTTGTCGGTGGAAGGGCGAATTCAGCGACCTATAGAATAACAACCTTGATTCTTGAAAATCTCAAAAATGGTATCGGAGTAATTGACGAACTGCTCTGATTGCGTGTGTGTTCGGCATAATTTCGCGACGTTTCCCTCGAAATTAATGTATATTCAGGTGAACATGCTATAGATCGCGAAGTTCGTTCTCCGTATTAGACAAATATCCCAATACCAACGACGGTAAGTATAAACATATTTGATTCCTCCGCGTAAAATGATTAATTTCCAGGATATTACAACTGGAATCCTAAGTAAGGTAAAACACCACAGTCTACTCACAAACTGCTCGAGCTCTTCGTCAAGATAAACCGGCCTAAGCTCCTGCTGCGTCAGGATCGTCTTCCTTCCTGCGAAAGGATCACGGATAAATGAATGAAAAAAAAAAAAGAAAAATCATTTCGACCGAAGTAGAACGACGGCGACAGGGTGGGAAGGATCTCGAATATAATTCCCGACGCGGCAGCGAAACGGAAACAAGTTTAGGGTGAACGGAAGGAGGATCGTTCGTTAGTCGTCAATTGGAAACGGCGGCGGCCGCGATGGGTCCCTCTTAAATCCGGCGGGAGAGTTAAATCGAAGACATTCGTTCTAAGAATCTTCTCCTCTCTCTCTTTCCCACTATTTCCCTTTCCATCCTGGCGGTACCGTTCCGAACGTCGTTTTTCTTTGGTCCTCTTCTCTTGCACCATCCCCCACACCCCCTTCCATCATCCCTCTTGCTTCCTTCTAGTCCCTCGGATACGCCTTTGCTCCTGGCAATCTAATAGCAACGATAAATCGCGGCCAGCCACTGAATCGGCGAAAGAGGAAACACGTCAGGCGATCGAGGCGCCCGCGGGAGGACACGTTGCCGTAATTTATTGGCCTATGATAGCGAGCATTATGCAGATAGTGACGACGCTCGTCTTCTCATCTGGCCCAGCGTAACCACCATCCCACGTAGACCCTCCACCCGTTCGGGGGACTTATTACCGTCACGTAGCTTCTCGCGACGATGTGGTTTTTCACGGTTTTACCGTTCCCGCGACCGTCACGTACACGCTGTAACCGTGTTCCGCGCGGGAAACTTCCGAGGACGATCCGTTCGCGAACGTAGAGGCGGTTGCTTTTGTTGCCAGTGCAAATACATTTGTCCTTGCGCGGGATTACGATCGAACGGAGAGTAGAAATGATTTATTGGGATTCGTGCTCACTCCTGAATGGGAGGAATTTAATTCTTGATCTATGAGAAGGTTTTTTTTTTAATATAGTAGGACATAGGTTGTCAATGTGGGCGCTACAGTTTACTGGTGAAAGGTGAGGAGACCTGTGGTGGGCTTCCATTGTCTCCTACTGTCACGTCTGAATTTAATCGAAGATCCCGCTGTCGACAAAATGGCGGTCGGAGATCGAAGCAAGTTACGTCACGTGAATCTTGTTAGTTAACGAACAAAAAAACGGAAAATAACGAAAATTGTGTTGCGAGTGTAATGGGAATCGTAACGGTTAATCCGATTTTTCATTACGAATCGTTATCGCGAAATGGCGACGACATTTTTTTTTTAACGGATTTTAATAAACAGGAGAAATTCTGAAGCTTTTGTAGCGGGACACGAGTAATCGAAAAACTGTTGGGGGACAAACGAGAATGACGGGCGCGTTGAAAGCTCGTCGAGTAATGAACTTTTTTTTTTGTTATAGCAGGGTATCCGTCGGTCGCGCGAATAATTCCCCGTGTTCGAAAGATTAGTCGCTTTAGCGTGATTTTTAATTTCGATTCCCCCTTCCCCCACCCCTCAACTCGTTCATGACGAACTGTGTCGGTGAATATCCGAACAGGTCGCGAAAATGTCACGGGATCGAACGGAAATGTTCGATTTTCTGTCCAGGCAGGGATGATATCGATGTTACCAGTGACGGGGTTGCACGGACTGCTGAAAAAAATCTTTCGAAAAAATCGAATGAATTGACCCGGGGAACGGTTGGATTTTCGTGTAAAAGCCGGATATATAAATCGAGGGGGGAGCTCGTGGATGATAGATCGACGGTGTTCGGAGCATAGTTAAATATTCCAATCTATGGTCGAGATAACCGTTGTTATGCACCTGTCCCTTTGGAAAGATAAATGTCGATCCTGAAACTCCTTTAGTTACATGCTTCGAAGTTTCACCGAACTACAACTTTTTCTGTTAAACAAACTACACGAATCGTTATTTTTACTTGCATCATGCGTTCATCATAAATATTTCTTCATTTTGAAATGGGATTCCTGGTTTGGTACGTAATCTGGGGAAACAAATGCCTTTTGGGAACAGATTTGTGAGTCGCTGTATAAAAG